ATCTTCTTCATTCGCGTGGTTGCGTCTGACGAATATCCAACGAAAGGATAGTCGGTATTCTGCAATGCCAAAGGCTCTCTGCATACATGACTGCAGTAGTGTTTTGCTAAATGAGCGAACGCAAACTCGATGACACCCGACTCCTTGAACGTCGGGATCGGGAATCGGGGAGTAGTGCGCCAAACCCTAACTCTAACCCTTGGATAGTGGCCCAATATTCTCCGAAAACCCCGAAAACCGCAGTTACGGTATCATTCAGATTCGAGCAAGATCAACTTTTTAAACTTTACCACCTCCAACGCCCACCTTACTTACAACATCCGATTGGATAAGTTGGCAGCACTGTCGAGACATCTACGAAGTTACGCCCAACCATTATTCCCACACCACTCTTTCTTCTTTAGCCCACCTTGTTACTGGCCGCCGACAAGATGTCAACCTCATCGGGTACGCTACCCGTTTCGCATATAGTCGCTGCGTCTGGCGACACGATTCTTACGTTGAATAACCCGAATCCCGTACTCGCTATATGGGTAGACGACATCGACCCGACCCCAAGCAATAGCGTCCCTGTCACATTCCGAGTCTCCTCACGAAGCAGCTATTACTGGGGGATGGAAGGAAGGATCCAAAAACAACGATGGATTCTACGAGATTATAACTGAGGGTTGGGATGCTGATGCTTTGCTCATCGTCTTGATTGAAATCCACGGTGATGATTCGATCATTCCACCACCAAGGAGGGCCAATCTCGAGACGCTGGGCAAGATCGCCGTGCTGCTCGATTATTATAACCTTTGGCATCTGAAGGCTATCTACCCTCGTGCTGAGAAATGGATCAAACGCCTCCTGAAATCGCTCAAGACGGCGTTCGGTAATGATGATCTTATCCTCTGGCTATGTGTATCCTGGGTTTTCGAGGACGAAATCTTTGAGGACGTTACAAAGCATGTTGTTCAGCATTTTCGAGGGAATTTCCAGCCACTCATCCTTCCAATTCCGAAAGAAATAATCGGTAAGCATCAAGCTTAAGGCATTTCACTATACCAGATATAGCAACTAACAATCATATTTCACAGAGAATATCGAGACTCAGAGAGAAGAGGCGATGTGGGAAGTTTTCACACTTTTACAGAACGCAAAGCTCAAGCTTCTTGATAGCGAGAGCAGCGTTGGTTGCTCGCCCGAGTGCCGCTTGCTTCAACTCGGCAGCCTTATCAAGTTCCTGCATGACCAAGGACTTCCCGAGAATCTAACAGCAACCACATCGTACGAGCACCTCAGCGTGATGGATCTCATCGAGGCCATCAGAGACATCAACTTACCGGCGGAAAATCGGCACTATCCAAGCCGCGAACACTGCGATTGCCAATTCACGCTCACCAGTTTGTTAGAGCCCGGTGTTAAGAAAGCTGCTGAAAACCTGGACATAATGGGTTTCTGCCCTGAGGATATCTACGAGAGTTACGGTTACTGTTCCTGGGAAGACCTTGATGCCAAGGATGTTGCAAGACCTCGGAGTGGAAGGGTAGTATAATGCTTGCAGCTTAGAAAGAGACGGCTGGGAGCTCTTAACAGAGACTTGTGCGCAAAGATCGTGAGATTCCAGCGGGAGCATTGGTCGGGTCTTGAACTCACGCTTTAGGGTCCAGACTTTCTGCCCACCTATCACTGCTGTGAAAGGCCGGCCCGAGGCTGAGGAAAGGGTCAGGGCAGCCAGCTACATCCACAGCACGTGGGTTGTGGTGCGGGGCTGTGTTACCTTTCTGGTGTGGAATTTGGATCATCGAATCGCCGTCGATTTTCTTAACCAGCGCGTCCTGGCTCTTGCTCATTGAGATGATCGGAGCATTGGACTGAAATGAGCGAAAAAATTCGATTGGAAAGAGCAAGGGCTCGACAGGGCCAGATTCGAAGCCCTGACAAAGTTGCTGCGACTGCGGCATCATGGCCAAGTCGAAATGCCTACCCGCTTCGATGATGATGAGGATGATGATGATGCCCAACTTGTTCCTAAAACGGACTGCAGCTCAGTCAAAGTCTTGCCGCCCACGGATCTCGAAGCCAGTCGTTTGCGCGGCGGCAATTCCTAGACAGGCTCGCCGAGTTGATCGCCAACCAAAAAGGTGGCAGACATGTCGCTGCGACGGCCATGCGCGTTGACCCAGACAGCGTCAAGGTCACCGTCGCCAGAAACGACGGATTTCGGCCGACGGACGGAGAATTCCTAGAACAGGTCCAGTCACTGTTACGGCGTATTGCAACAGTAACCCACGATTATGGAAGCAAGGACGCGCTTTGGGCCGCGCTCCTTAGGCGGAGCGAATCCAGGATTGAGGACTACCTCGTCGATGTGAGGCAGCTCCTCAAGCGATACCAACAACACCATGACACGAACCACCAACGAGCCCAAACTGTCAACCCTTCTTTGGGCTCGGAACTCAGCGAGCTGTGCGTCGCCGTCTTTGGCCAGCAGTCATCGACGGCAAGCAGAGACGATGCGTTGGTCACACGCGCCCACGCAATTCACAAGATGTTTTCGTCCGGGGATTTCGAGAGCTTGGGGTTTCCCGCCAGAGCTAATCTGAGAACCGCCCTTGGTTATCTCGGGAGGCCGAGAACCTCGTTCCACGTTCTGGTCGCGGCCGCAGAGAGGCTGGAGGGCTTTGCCGATATTCGGATCGGCGCCGTCGCCGGGGGGGGGGGGGAGGCCCATCGAGGGGCTTATTCCCTGGGCAAAACAAAACTGCTTTTTCTTCATCGCTTTACTGCTCGACTCAACCCACCCTCCGCCGACGATGCCAAACCTCGACCTATGGTACAACTTCGGCTTCGTCGTGTGTGAGAACCTACACGCCGAGAGGTCCCTGGCGGGCCTCTACATGCACATGCTGCTCGGCAACAGGCCCACCCTGGACTACTTCGCCAGCCTAGGAATTACGCCGATGGACTTCCCGCCCGCCAATCCCCCGACCTGTCCGTTCGAGCAGTTCTGGAAGGCGTGGGAGGCAGGGACGCTCATGGACCTCTTCGACACGTACGGCAACCGCGGGCTCCTAACCGCCTGTGGCGAGTCGATCGATTTGTTGTTCCCTGATCTGAGGGAGTTCCTCTCGTACCCCGGGGGGCCTGAATCCGATATGAGGTTTCCGCGCCCGTCGGTCTGGCGACTGAGACAGTTCCTGGCCATCGAGGGGGCAAATGTGCTGACTGTGGCGCCCACTATCTCCCGTGCGGCCATCGAGTATGGCTTCAAACCGGGACTGGATGCCAGGACACGACTGGAATTGCATGCCTTCTACACGAGTATCTTTCGGCGGGGCGTCCGAACCGGGGAAGTCGATGGCGCGCTAAAAAGGGGGAAGCTCGACGAGGTGGCTGATCGGTGGTATGGAGAACCGGTCCCGGAACGTGTGCGGGTGGTGCTGAGGGCGGTATCGGGGGCTGGACGGACCGTCTCTGCCAATCTCGGGGATGGGCAGAGTCGCGATCATGACATCCAATATATGTGGAGGTTACGCTATGGGTACGGCCGGGGGGAGGAACATGGTGAGGAGAGTCCTTTAACCGGCTGAGATCACGGCAGCGGAGAAGATCAAAGTACATGGAGAGAACTGAGCGAGTCTTCGGGGAACGAGAAGAGGGGCTGGTGTACAATGCAGTAGGGACCGACTTTGGATTCATTTCCCAAAACGCTATCGACCCCAAAAACAAAATGGCGAAAATATATGAAACGACACGGACGGTCCCGTTTCGCCCAAACACCGCTTCAAGTTCTCCATCGCGACACCTCCCATGGTGTACAGTCGGAGGTTGCGAGACTATCACGGTCCAAGAGGGTGCTTAAAGATGGTTTTGAGGGAAAGAGGGAGGCCCTCCAGTATCTACGGATAAACTACCAAGCAGTTCCCTAAGCGAGATCCTCAATATTCAGCCTCACGGTCTCTTCCAAGCTAGTCCAGCCGGGCCTGCCCATATCTCTGAGCAGCGCCTCGGTTCGCGGAGCCCGAACAATGTCGCTCTTATCGAGCTCGGCCTCATCGAGATCCCTTGGAAAGGTCTTGCCGGGGTACAGCTTCTGCATGATACGCTGGATACCGCGCCAGGTGAACGGACTGGCGTAGGCGAATATGCGCTCACCCTGGACGTCCGGATGGATGAGAGCCGCAACATGGAGGCGGGCGTTATCTTGGACGTCGACAAAGAAGTCTAATGATTTGCTCGAGTTAGTCGAGTGGCCATTAGAGGGGGGAAGGCCGCTTACATTGGGGAGCTCCCGCGACAACGTCCAAATTGCCCTGGAACAGGGCCTGAATCATGAAGGAAGTCGAGGGGTGGCCTTGGGCAACCGGGTCCAGGCTCTTGCCCATGTTCATGCTGGGGAGAACTGGTCACTCTTCGTCAGCAGCAGCACCGAAAAAGACACCAGACGTGTCTGACCTGTGTTGAGGACAAAGTGCGGCTTGTGCTCCTCATGCCACTTCCAAGACTCTCTCTCCATCTCCATCTTGCTCGCCGAATAGACGGCAAATCCGCGCTCAGCCGCATAGGGCGGGGGCGCCCAGGCTTCGCGGGTCACGTCGTCATTCCACGTCTTCTCGTCGATGGTGAGCCCAACGCCGGGCTTCTGGCTGGCAGCTGAGGTGCACGACGACGTGAGAACGAAGCGCTTGACGGCGGGCTGCTTTGCCGCCGCATTCAGCAGGTTGAGCGTCCCTGCGACCATGGGAGTGATGACTTGGTTGGGGTCAGGGTTCATGGTGATGTCTGAGGCGGCGTGCACGATGCCGGAGACGTCTGGGAGCTTCTTGTCAGTGCCTACGGGCGGGCAAATAGCCATGAGCACGATCTTACCATCGAGCAGTTTGTCAAAAGCGCCTTGGTGGGTAATGTCAGGGACCTCGATGAGTCTGAACCTTCCCTCGCCGTGTTTACCGTCGAACAGACGCTGGACCCAGGCGTTTTTGGCCGCATCTCGAGTCGTTCCGGTGACAAGATAGCCTCCGGCGAGTAGCTGGTCAGCAACATGGCTGCCAAGAAAGCCACTGACGCCGGTCACAAGGACGCGGGAGCCAGGCGACAAAACGGGCTTGTGGATGGGCGACATTGTTGCGTCGTGGATCGTGATGTGCTGCTGATGTGCTGGTTGCTGAACTCCAGACCTGCCTGACTACAGACCACACTCCCTTCTGCTGGCGGACCGGAGCTATATATACTGCCTCCTCCAGACACGCCAAGGACCGTAACGCTCGCTTCATATTCTGTGGTGTTTCGCCTTTGCCATCAAGACTGCTGTTCGGACGGTCAGACCAAGTTCCTCGAGGCTGGTTGAGTCTGGTTCGGACCCCGAGCCTCAGCGAGGCCGATGTGAACAGCATTTCGAAACATTGCCTGCTGGCAAATTGGCCAATTGGGCCTGATTCGCAGCCTCGCAGAACGGAATTTTACGAGAGCTGACTTGGGGCATTCTGCATTGCATCGTGATAGTCGCGATGGGTTAAAAGTTCCGGGTCGATGCCATTGACCACTTTAAAAGCACACTTGTGGCTGGTTGGTCGATTTGGAAGCCTGCTCCTGCCGAGGTCGATTTGTCAATTCAGTTTGATTGGTTAATTTGACAACCAGCTTCGCGAAAATCGGCCGAACACGGGCTGTCACCACCCCGGCTCGGGCCCGGGCTGACAGATGTCATCCCTCCCTGATGCTGCCATCTCAACTTCTTTAACTTTATTTTTGACAATCAGTATTGGACGTGCCAATTTTCGTCGCCAAAGCACCCACCCACCCATTCACCATTCCTCACTTTGTGTTCGCTCTCTTACTCCGCTGAGCCCAATTGGAGGTGAGTCGTGATTGGCCATACCTGCTCTACCACATGCGAGCGAAGGACAAGAGTCAAATATGTTCGACACCCCGGAATCCAGATGGCGGGCGCTCCAGACTCGCAATCGCCTCGCAGCTTCGGCCTTCCTGTACGGTGTCACGACCACTCGCATCTATTGCCGCCCGGCATGCCCCTCACGCCTCGCCAGGCAGGCCAACATCGTCTTCTTCGACTCGGCAACCGAGGCCGAGTCCGCCGGGTTCCGACCTTGCCGGCGCTGCAAGCCCTCGAAGAGCGACTTTGAGCCCAAGACGGTGCAGCATGAAAAGGCCGTCCGCAAGGCTTGCAACCTGATCGACGCTGCCGGAGGGAGGCTTACCCTGGACAATCTGGCCAGCAGCGTCGGCCTGTCGCCCAGATATTTTCACGGCATATTCAAAAACGCCATGGGCGTCACTCCGAGCGTCTACGCTATGAGGGTCAGGAAGGGAAAGACGGTCCGCACGTTGCAGAGTGGCGACAAGCCTGAGGAGGCATGCACGGTCAATAGGGCGCTATCATCAGGTACCGGTCACGGTAGGAACGGAGGGGAAACTCGGGAAAGTGTGCTATCAGGTGGGATTAGCCCCAGTGGCTGGCCACAGAATGTTGCTGACTTGGGATTTACAAAGAAAATATGTTTCGATCGACGTTGATGGAGATGCCGCCGAACCAGATACCAGCTGATCCAGGAGTCCATGCGCTCGGCTGTACTAGCTTTGAGTGTTTATTTTCCAAAGACATCGACGGCTGTTTCCCGGGGTCAGAACTTCTCACGAGTCAGGATGTCCTCGAGGACGACCCTGACAGCTTGGACGACAACGGGCTTATGCTTTATTTATTCGAGCATGGAGTACCTCATGACACGGGGATTACGACTGACCACGGCATACCTTATTCTCCCCAGCTTCCTGGCACCCTCTCATCCCGTTGTGATCTGGCTAGCAAGTACTCTTGAGACCTGGCTCTCTGAAAGCACTGCTAAGGAAGTTAAAAGGGGTTTAGCCTATAACATGTAGGTCGGCATATCAGCAGGGCTGATACGGAGGGGGTATGCATGTGGGAAAGGAGAGCTGAGCAGGGCTAAACATAGGAAGAGACCGAGGCGAAGAAGGAAACACTCCTTAAATGGTCGATAGGGTAGGAACGGGAAGCTTTCACCCCCTTGCTGGGATCTGATAAAATTGAAGGAGCTAATCGCTCAATACAGTCTAGACTACCTGAGTTTTGCAAGCGAGCATCAGCGCTAGCCACAGATGACAGGATGATTGCAATGCGACGTCGCACATCACAAGTCCGAGCTACTCCTAGGCTGCGAGGCAAAGCCCCTTCCACCAGGCGACATGCTCTTGGCGGACTAGGGTTTGGAAATCCCATCCCGACAAAGAGCGAGCTGACCATTCAGAGGGGCTAATCCAACAGTAGAAGCAATTCTAGCTGGTTAGGTTCCATTTCCTACCCCTTTTTAAGGCCATCCCTAGTTTGAAGGATCGTGGCTCACATGCATCTAACGTTCAGCCATCGCCTCATCACAAATGCGCCATGGTAGAAGCCTCCATTCACATGTATATAATATCATACATCATGTCCTGCTGTAGGTAGGAGCCTGCATCCAACACGCCAACAACCGGACCTAAGCCTTACCTCAACTGCCACCTATACCTACAATCCGACAACTGCCAAGTGGAACCATACAATCCGGACGAAGATGCAATCCCACCTCGTCTGGGCACTTCTCTGTGCCTTTACCCCGGCGCTTGCCCAGGACACACCCACTGCAGTGTGGCCCTTGTGGAACCCTACACCAGCCACATCCGATGTCTTCAATATGCTAGCCATCGCGACTCCGACGAACGAGGTAATAGCACCATACATCCAAGCTTCCGTCGTAGCCTACACTACTGGTCAGGATCGTGTAACCTACTCCATCGAGTGTAATGGACCCAACCCCACACAGCAGCCTGGTTGCGATCTCCTCCACAAGGCGGCCGTGACCGTTGGACCAAACACCATGATGATCCTGATCGGTCGCGTGGACTATGTTACCGACGTGAACTCGGGTTCAACCACGGAAAGCGCACAGACTATGTAAGCTCTTGCATATAGTCATTGAAAGCATTTCAACCTTAACTAACAAACTTGTACTGTAGAATCGGCACGGCCGACTGTGAGCTCCTCCCGGCGCAGACATCGGCAAACTGCAGGTGGACAACGACCGACATCCGGACGGCCTTGTTGATCCGAACATCCGTCACGGCCACTGTCACCGTCTCCTCCACAGCCATGACCGTGTCCAGGTCTTCTTCGACAAGCTTCGCCAGTGCCGCCCAGCATACCGTGCCAGTCAAGGTCATTGGCGGCCTCGAGAAGGTGCCTCCGCACCTGCGGCCTGGTGCTACCGTTACTAGTACCTCGTCGTCGACCGGTGCGGCTCCGAGGCCTACGCAGCAGGCTGTGCTGGCTGGGGTTGCAGCTGTTGTTGGAGGGATGGCACTGGTGTAAGGGGTGGGGAAGAAGGGACTTTGGTTTTTGAAAGAGTGGTTGAGAATACGATCTCGTTGACGTGTAAGGTTAATTCCCATACTTCGTACATCCCGGCCGTTTCTGTTGTTCATGTTAGGACCTTGGTTAAGTACAGATAATACTATTAGAGTTACCACCTACTTCAGTTGGTGCTCCTTATACGAACGAGTGAAGCGCCTAAATAATGTATATCCCAACAAGAGGCTAGCTTAACAACGGAGTCGATATGTGGGATGGGAAGGCGCCACACTTGGTTGATTTGCTCTACAACCGGGAAGGCGCAACCCAAAGCCAAGGTGACAACTCAAGTGCCTTATGTACGGCTTGCTGTCGTCACGTGTGGCTGCCTGGGCGGGGTACTCACCCACCTCAGCTCGTCGGTCGACTCCAGTTCCAAGATTCTTCAGACTGCTGGGTTGAACTTTAACGTTTGGGCAGCTGGATACGAGTTACGAACCTCCGCGCTCAAACACCGCAGCGCCTAATTGTTCCTAAAGCTCCCTGCCTTGACAGTCCCTTGACTCCTGCATTCACGATGGCGCAACAGGCAGGTCAGACCAAAGTCCCGACAGGTTTGCCGCCTATTGGACCCCTGATCCAGCAGGATGAGACCTGGAAGGGTGCCTTGGAAGCAGTCAGCAAGTCAACCGGGCGGCCTATTGCAGTGCTGCTGGCGTCTCCCGCCCATCCTCGAGATATTGCTGCGTATCTTGCGTCTCTCAAGGAAGCACGGAAACAGAACAGCCTGTCAAGGACTTGCCGTGCCGTTACCGTTTGCATAGATGGAATCCGGAGGCACGAGAAGGCCCTTGACATGTTTGCCCAGGCTGGCGGTATGCCCGGTTGCCTGGCCTGGGAATGTATCAAGTTCGCATTGGAGGTGAGTTATTTCATGGACAACCAAGGGACAGATCTGATAACTATATACCTTGAAGTTGTCGTACGGCTATGCCAAAGACTTTGAGCACCTTGTCAGCGCCATGGCCGACATTACCAGCTGGCTTGAGCCTGTCTCCATTGAGGCCAGCACCTTCAAGGACTCCGGAGTGGTTTCCCGCTGCCTCTTGGAGATCTACACCCACATCATTGTCTTTTGGACCAAATGTGTAGACTTCTTTTCAGCATCCAAGTTGAAGCGGCTTTATAGTGCCTTCAGGGCAATTTGGGCAGACTACAACAGCGAGTACGAGACTCTTCGGGCGAACATTGACCGCTCGATCAAGATGCTTGTCACCGCGGCTGCGGCTGAGCACCATCGACAGTTCAAGCAATTCGAGGAGAGGTTGGATAGATGTGAGTTTCAGGCTTCTGAATTTATGATTTGTCGATTTTAGGTTAACTACTGGCCGGGATGGATGCTAATGTACAATGCATGACATGTAGTGGCCATGTCAGAGCGACAGCTGGTCCGAGAAAGAGACATCAATCACTGGCTGGCTCCGCCGGAGGATGTGGCTCACGACCTCAACTTTCAAGTGACGGATCTAGCTAGCAAATGCTCTGCCCGCTTCGGCAACACCTGCGAATGGATCACTGACGATCCTCAGTACAAGAAATGGTCAAACTCAACGTCAAGCACAACGCTATGGATCGAGTCTGGTCCGGGAACCGGGAAGACGGTCTTGGCCTCCTACATCATCACCCATCAGCTGGCCTTATCGAATCAAAGGTGCTTCTACTACTTTTTTCGGGGCACTGACAGTTACCTCAGTACACCACTTGCGGCTGCGAAATGCCTCCTGAGCCAGATATATTTGCTTTGCCAGCGCGAGCACCCAACTATGACCCGGGAATTTGACCTGCTCGCAGCAGCAGTTATCGAAGACGGGTACACAAAAAGCAAGTCGTTTGACAGAACCTGGAGCATCTTTGTCTCGTTTGCTTCATCCCTCCCGGGCGGCTGCGGAGTCATCATTGACGGTCTTGATGAATGTTCGCAGCCAAAACAGTTCCTTGACTCACTTCTTGCGCTCTCGGCTGGGTGCCCAATGCCCATCAAGATAGCCGTTACTTGTCGGTCATCCACAATCAAGCTCGATGACAATAATACCGTCGACGTCTTGAGTCTGGGCTCCAATCATTATGACGACATTAGAAAGTATACCACGCACAGGGTCTCAAATTTTCCAGTCCAGATCCCTCCCGAACTCATGGAGACTGTTGTGCATCGGTTGAGTAAGAAGCATAATGGAATGTTTCTTTGGGTGACGCTCGTTCTTGAGGAGCTAGAAAGCATGGTCACTGTCGAGGAGCTGAAACGAGCATTGGACGATCTGCCCAAAAAGCTGGACGAAGTTTACGACAGGATCATAAGGGAACTAGACAACAGGCTAAAGAAAGCGCAACGCCGACTTTGCCAGAAAACTCTCATATGGCTATGCGCATGCCAACGCCCAGTACAACTCGATTGGTTCTACGAGGCGCTCAAAGCCGAGTATCTTGAAGAGGGCTTCCTCATTAAACGTCAAGATCTCGCAGATTCTATTAAGATGTCCTGCGGTCCGCTGGTAGTAATCCGAGGGGACGAGGTCGCTTTTGTACATTTCACTGTCAAGCAGTTTCTGGAAACATGTGCCGAGACACGCCATTCCCTTGCAGGATTCCAAATACGGCCGATAGAAGCCCATCGCCATATCCTGCGGGTGGCCCTATCCTATGGATATATCTGGTGTTGAAGCTCGAGCAATTACCCCTGGAATTCGTCTTTTGGGACCTTGAGTCCTTAACGGAGACACTGGAGTCCCAGCAGCCTTTCGTGGATTCACAAGAAGACTTGGACGCGCTCGTCGTCTCTCGTGACTGGTGTGTTCTCTTACACTACATTCTTTTTGAGTATGGAGAAGCCCTCCTGAAGGACTCCCTCCTCCCCTGGTTATCGGTCCCGTCCCTGGCTGCGAGGAAACATCTCTTTCCCACTGTCGCTTGGATTCGAGACGAGGACCGGGACCCTCCTTGCCGCATCTTACCCGATCCTTTCCAAGTGCGAAATGCAGTGGAGATACCTACTTACCGTCAACTACTTGGCAATATATCGAAGTCACCAGGCGGCCGGCATCAGCGTTCTCCTATCACCGAAAGGTTGGGACTATTCCACTATCACGCAAGTCTTGGGGCTTTTGTCTTCGCCGACTACTACCTCCTTGACAAGCCGCAACTTTGCATTCAGGATGTTTGATCGGGAAAGCAGCTGCGACCAGTTACGTGCAAGAGGTCGATTCCAGGGTGCGAATCTGGAGTTGCAGGTGCCTACCCCTGGAACAACGGACCTGTCCTCCTTGATGCCGCCCTCTCACCAGACGAGCTTAGAGTCGCTTGCGTCTACCGCTCAAAGGACGCATACCACTTCTTCACCTGTGTGTGGGAGCTTCACCCACATAGAGGTATCTTTGGCCACGAGACTGCTATGGGTGGGGAAACTTGGGCCCGGGTTATCTTTCAAGCAGAAACTTACCAGCCGGTTTTTAATGGCTCCGCACGACATGTTCTCTTTGCGGACAATAGCTGTATCTGGTGCCCGGCAGGACGCGTGGACCTGAGAACAGGCGTGGCCACTAAGTTTGCTATCGACTTCTCTGAAGCACTCGGAAGACAAGATGGGCTCGCTGCCGCTGAATCGAACAGTCTGTCGTTGTATGGCGTTGGAGACTTCATAGTCTTCAATCCGCACAGGGCGGCTGCATGGCATACATACTATCGGTATACTGCCTCGGGGACGCTGTTGGGTGAATTCAAGAAGCCTGATTTCACGAACCTCGACAGCTTTCCCCATGAGTATGATCCTTGGAGCAGCGAGATCCTGCAGCTAGATCCCTCGGGCAGATTTCTAGTGTGGTTCAGCATAGACCTATCCAGTTTTGAGATCAGGAGAGCTGACCTAGAGGATACACTAACAGGGGCGACAGTGGAACTCAAAGGCCCTATTCCTGACAGCAAGATAATATTCGTACCCAAAGCCAAGCTGGCGGTTGTTGCAGCCTGCAAGCTGGGTCTTCTGGGTATTGAACTCACTACGTGGGACCTGTCATCAAACACCGCCAAGCCGAAGCAGCTAGCCTCCAAGTCGTTTCGGGATGAACTCTGCGGGCTTTGTGCATCCGAAGACGGCGAGTTGCTATTTCTAGTAACTTCAAATCGCATTATATCTCGGTTCACTCTGCCTGATCTGCAGGAGCAAGACGAGCCTCTGGGATACCGGGGGAACCATAGAGGTGATATCAAGTTTGTTGTGTCCTCTGATGGGACGGAATTGGCCAGCATTCTTGCGGATCCAACGGGGTGAGTGTGCATAACGATAATCCGACTTTGAGCATCGGACTGACCGTCTACTGTCAGTGTCAGGATCAAGATTTGGAGTCTCGACAATTCGAATGGGCGCGAGTATCGGTATGAGCCGCGCGAGATCGTCGGGCCTCTGTCGATGAAATTCATCAGTCCTAACCTACATTGGATTTTCTTTTGCTCCGAGTCAGGGCAGTATGACAAAAGTATTTGGCCGATTCATGGATCCAACTTCAGGCCCGATCAGCCGGAGGCTGAACAGCAAGCCACTCCAATTCAGAAGCAAACGTTGGACTATGAAATATGTACTTGGTTCTCCGATATCCTTAGTACAGGGACCCCGAGAAGGATGAAGTGGTCGGAGGGTGCATCCACATACTTTAGTCCATATGGGCACTACCTTCTCATCTCCTGGGATTCGTGTCTTGAAGGAAACCTCAACTCCGACATACGAGTATGGACAGAGCCAGATCTTGACAAAACCAGCTATCCCAGGTGGAAGTGCGTGGACATTGTGGGCCCTCCGGAATTCGCTTTAGAGGCCGCAAAGATCCTGGTCAACCTTGTCCCGGGAAGGCCTTGGTGTGTTCTAACCTACTGGGTCAGGAGTAAGTCTGACCTGCCCGAAGAGATATGCGACATATACTGTATCCTTCTGGATCTCGAGGAGGGCAAGTTTACACAAACTTGGCCCAAGCGACCTTGAGGTTCGAGGCACATCAACTCAAGTCCTCAAGTCTGTGGAGTCGGAATCTGGCGGCGATCCTAGGACGCCCTGGCTCGTCTGGATGAAACAAGTCGAGCGATCTGCCGAGCTCTCGCATTGCGGGGGATACATTGTCCTCACCGCGACCGTCGGGGGTTCCCGTTGGCAGACAGTGCTGGACCTGCCCATCTCCGACTACCGAATGTCCCGGGGACTCCCACCTCGGGTCGCCAGGGGGGATATTCTTCATGTCATTGGCCCCTCGAGAAGCTACTGGAGAGATCATTGCTACTGGACGTCGATCCAACAACAACGCGTGCTTCTCCACCGAGCGACGAGCAGTGCCGAGAACGGGAACCAATTCTCTAGCCTGAGTGTTTTCACATCTTGGCTGTCGTGGCTGCTAGCTTTGCTGATGGTTCTGCGTGGCTCATACTGCCGGAGTCCGACGACCAGCCGTCGAAGATCGTAATCACTGTTACGGGGGAATGCGCGGAGGTGATGCAGCTTCAGGAATGCTGGGGCAATTTCACGGCCATCTTGGATGGTTTGGAGCACAAACACGGGGAGAGAATGCTACCGGTAGGTTGAGGGCAGGCTGGTAGCTCCTCGTGGAAGTTAGCCTTCAAAGCCTTCAAATCCGCAATAACTTTCTGCGCCGTTGCATAAACCTCGTCCCAGCAATTCCGGATGATCTGTGCAGCCACGTTGCCGTCCAGTGATGGAAATTCATCCCGGGCATACCTAGCATCTACTTCGTTGTCTTCCAGATCAGCAAACGGTCTCTCCCATGCAATAATCTCATACATGGCCGACCCAAGGCTAAATAGCTCCCTCTTCATGATCGGCACCTCGTCGTACGCCCTGCCCCGCGCAGGCAAGTGATAGCGAGTCTCGTGTGTCTGATCCCACTCAAAGTCGGCTCCCTCGAGCAGAGCGCCCCCGAAATCCCCGAGCTTCACTCTGAGTTCGTCGAAGACAAAGATATTCGTAGCTGACAAATCGCACGCCATGACGCCCCGCGAGTGCAAGTAGCCCAGGCCTGTAGCCACGTCGAGCGCCATCCGGAGGCGGGACAGCAGGGTAGGGGGGTTTTTGGCCGTCTGGCGTATGAATGTGCGCAGGGATCCCAAGGGTGCCATTTCGAGACGGAGTGAGTGGATTCCCGGATGCACCTCTTGGAGACCGAAGCACTCCAGAATCTGGTGGTGCCGCCCGAGGTGCTTGTAGATGGTGGCTTCCCGTGCCAGTCGCTCCTCGCAGGATTCTCCGTAGTCAAATACGAGGTTTCCGCCACACCATACCTGATGGCCCTTGAGGACTGTCTTGTTGTCCGTGGTCGTCACATAGCATGTTGTGCCGACTTTAATAACTCTTGGCTGCACGTGTTTCATGGTGAGTTCAATTGGGAGATTGGGAATTGAGCTGGGCGTTGCTGGGTTCCACCTGACTCCGAGCTGAAGCAACCGGTTGATTGTACGTGCCAATGTTTTTCACGTTGATTCGGGAAGCAATGAGACAAGAAAAGAAGGACGGAAATAGAGTGTCGACTGTCGTGTGCGACGTGTGGCCGCCTTCGGTGTTGTAGCCTTGGGCTTGCAGGGAGCCAGACCCTGCAGGCTGCAGCCAACCAAGAGTGGCCCGGCCACGGACATTACAGTCCCCCCCTTGTTTGTTCGTTAGCGTGGTGCATGCGGTGGATCTAGACAAGAAAAGGGAAAAGTGAGGTCCAGGTTGAAGATCCAGGGTGGAAAAAGTCGAAGGTTATGTAAGCCCGGAAAGGGTTCGTGGGCCAGATGCGCGTGGTTCGATTGGACAAAGTTCCTGTATCTCTGGGTTGTGGTTGGGTGGAAAGAATGGGGGAAGTTCCGCGCTAACAAACAAACAAGGGCTGAACTGTACATTGGACGGATAGTATTTATTCCGCCCGAAGCGCTAATCCGAAGTGCGTCCGTCACGTGTGTAGCACGTGGCGTAGGATTGGTAAAGGTTCTGGAATTGGTCACGTGATCACGTGCCGTAAGAACCGCTGCCCCGCGTCCCATCATTGCCCACGCTTCCACGCGTGCTGGCACTGCTGTGTAACGATTCCTTCCTTTCTGGGCCTGGATTCTTCGACAAACGGATGGCTTAGGTACTCCAAACATGCTCCTGCACGAAATCGTCCGCCCCCTCATTGCAAACGCTTCCACGCGTTCCACGGAACGATTTTTCTTCAGATCTTCCTCTGAACAGATGACCTACCCCAAACGTGCTACTGCCCAAGATCGTCATGGACTATGAATGCGGCACCTGCGGTAAGGTCTTCCCTGCTGGTTGGCGAGCTCGGGAGAACCACTGCCGCGCAACCGGCCATGAGCCGCCCGACTTCGAATGCGAGAGATGCCCTCGATGGTTCCGCAGCTGGCAGGCTTGCTTCCAACATATGAGCGCCAAGAACCACTTCGCTCTTGAATGCCACATCTGCGATGAGACCTGGCCGACAGAAGAAGATCGAACCACTCACGAGAACGAAGACCATTACTACTGCGCAGACTGCGATCGCAACTTCCGCAACTACAACAATCTCAAGATGGTTAGTATCAACCCTCTCTTGTCATCGGTAGCTTGGACTTTGGGGTAACCTGGCGTAGCATCTCCAGTCGCGCATCCATAGAGGCGAGCAGATGGCCTGCCCCTTCTGCAAGAGATGCTTTACCACCTCAACCGGGGTCGCCCATCACCTTGAGTCGAGCGCGTGTCCCAATGCTCCCCACATCAACCGAGACACGGTTTACCAGGTCATTCGGTCAAGGGACCCTCACGGCGCCATCTCAAAGAAGTTGCTTACATGGCAAGGGTCCGACCAGACACGGTACGAGGCCACTGGCCGGTCCTGGAATGGATGTGCCTATGAATGCTATTTCTGTCACCGCGAGTTCGGCAAGTTGCAAAGCCTCACCCAGCACCTGAACTCGCCCGCTCGTAAGTCTCTCCTCTCATTAACTGCATTTCACCTGATTAACAGATTGTTCCTAGACAGACCAGCAGGAGCTTGATCACTGTCCAAACAGGGCCTGCAGGATGGACTTCAAGACCTTGGCCAGCGTGATCAATCGCCTAGAGAGCGAATCGTGCGGATTCATGCGCTTCGAGGCCGTCCAGGGGAAAATGGGGAACGTGCTGCGCGGCGACCGCCTCCTGACGTTCTGACCGCGTGATGAACCGGTACCGCTCCTTAGCCTGTCTCGGACCCAGACGCGGTAACTATATGGGCAGTGTGCTGCCGCTACATGCCTAGAATGGCAGTAAGAGGCGCCTGAGAGGAGTCGCTTTGGCGAACAAATTTGTGGCTTGTTAGGAATGTGGAGGAAAGGATACTGATACCGGACACATCGGACCTGGGCGAGGGAACGCTCACGATGTACGTAAACATACTGGCGTTAGGGCGCATATCAGGGCAAGCTTATTGCCCCACCTCGATTCTTCCGGTTCTGCCTACGAAATGCATCTCGAGTATCCGTGTTCGGTATGTGAGTCCTGTCGCTAGCCTTTCTTACTGTCCGAGTCCGCAATGCTCCAGTGCCGCGGAGAACTCGTTCTCTACTTGTTCCCCTCTCGCCAACATCTAGCAGCCCGTTATTCCAAACCCGGGGTAATAACCAACCTCTCCCCACTAACCGCCCCTTTATGCAGCAGATTCCACGCCTCCTGAACCTTTTCCAACCCCCCGATCCTCGTTACAGGCACAACCCTCAACTTCCTCTCCTGCAGCGCCTGCTCAAGATAATCCCACCACAACCACTCGGTAGAATCCTTATTCTTCGGATCAAGATAGTCATCGACATACTGCGCAAACTTGCCCTCAACCCCCACCGGCAGCGTAACACCGGGCCTCAACCCCATAGTCGACAGGAACGACCCCCCGCCGTGCGCAGACAACACCCTCCCCAGCACGACCTGGTCCGGCGCTGCGTCGGCTGCTGCAAGCACGGCCTTGAACGGGCCCAGCGCGATTAACTCGTCCGAAACGGTGGCTGAATTGCGGTCGACAAAGTGTGCGGCGCCAAAGGAGCGGACGAGTTCCGCGTTGCGTGCCGAGGCGACGCCTACCACGGTGTAGCCTGCTTCGGCGGCGAGCTGGGTTGCGTAGGCACCGAAGGACGAGGAGGCGCCCCAGATGAGGACTTTTCCGTCCCTTTTTGGTGTGGGTGGACCTGAGGGCTTTTCGAGGCCGAGGTGGAGGAACAGAGCGCTTGCCGCGCCGTAAAGGTTGGAGACGGCGGCTGCTTGCTCGAAGGGGACGTCTCCGATCTGGAATTGGATGTTAACGGCTGACGGTTAGGAGGGCAGTTGGACGAACAGATTGCTTACTTTGGCTGTGAGCTCCTGGGTCGTCAGAGCGTATCGCTGGTAGCCCCCGAATCTGGAGTCGTTGCGGATGGTTCCGGCGCTGTTTGTGACGATGCGGTCGCCGATCTTGAATCGCGTGACGGCGGAGCCCACATTGACAACGACCCCTGAGAAGGACACTAATGGTTCGCGGTTTAAGCATCAGGCACGCTTGGGAATCAGATCCATTCGCGGAGGGAATGGTACTCACGCCCAATGATGGTAGGATATTTCAGCGGGAATGGGAGTACCCCTTCCTGGATCTTGTACTCGGCGGGCTGGACCGCAACAGCCTTCACCTGCACCACGAATGAAGTCAGTCCTGCGCTGCAGGTGATATTTGCATCACTCGCTCACCTCGACCAATAGTTCGTTGTTGTCTGGGACGGGAGTATCTGCGGGACCGACTTCCAGCTGCTTCCCGACGCCGGGAAGCCAGGCTGCTATGTTCTGGGGTGATGTCATTCTGGATATGGGCACGGATGAGTTGTGAGAGGTCGCACCCTACGCTTGGATGTGTGAAGAAGAATGGAGGAGATGCACATGAGTAAGGTAAGATAAGGTACCTGATTCTACAATTAGTGAGTGCCTGACTATACCCCGCTTACGCAGTACACAATGCTGGTCCCGGCACTTGCTGCTTCTCGAACATCATGAGTAAGGCAGCTATTACCAACTCGACCACTGCAGGGCCTAGACTTGCGCGGCCATCTCTGGTGCCCGAGGGTATCCATCGCGCTTACCCAACCTCGCCGTTAGTGTAGGCGATGATGTTTTATGCTACGGTTGTAGTGCATTTACGCTTATTGCAAAGTGGGGGTCGCCGAAGAAATTCGGGAAGCGCTAAGCTCGTCGCTAGAGGTAGGAGCGACAGGGTCGCGGAATCTTCCCCAAACAGGAAAAGACGACGTCGGAGATAAGGTGGGGTCTGGTGGGGCATCGGCGACAACGACGACGACAAGCATCCAAGCAGCGACGTCCTCACCACATTCACCCGCACGCAAGGCCTAGATCTGCTTGAAGCTCTGAGTATCATGACGGCTAACAGCGTCCGCCAAGGAATATTCCTCTTTGAGCGTGATATCGCCCGAGTTTGGCGCCACGCCTAGCGCTGACTAAGTTTGCACGCGAGACAACTTCAGACAAGATAGTCGTTAACGAAGGATCGCGACTCGGAGATATGCTGCGGGGTGAAGCCGGACTCGAAACCTTGAAAGGCCTCCCGAGACGCCATAAAGGGCTGCAGCTGCACATCTCGCCTAATGGGGACTATTCGGGCTGGTCTGGCTTTTTCTGGGTCACGTCAATCACACGGTCACACGGAAAGCTGAACAGGAAGCAACCCATGAATACGGGAGATCGACGACATGGTTGGAGTGCCAGGGCGCTCGCAGGCTTGCTCGACATGCCGCGAGCGGAAAGTCTCTGTGAGTGCGACACACCAACCAATTCCTTGGTAACCAATTATGTACCGGGGTAGTACGAGGTCGGAGGTATAGGACGGGACACGGGTTGACTCCAGCCGGGGACTTTGTAGTGCGACGCGGCGAAACCACACTGCAATCGCTGCGTGAGGACAGGCCGGCAATGTGGCGGCTACCAGCGTCCGCGCGTGTTTGTAAACCAATTCTCCGAGACGCAGACGCCTCTGTCCCTCCCTGCAGATGATACCTTGGGCTTGGGCAGCGGCAGCAACATGAAAAAGCCACGGACACGACGACATGCCCCCAAATGGGCCGTGTACTGCGCTCCCATACCCGGCAGCGACACGGTAACAATGTCAACAGCCTTGACAGCCGCAGCCCTGCCTAAATCGCCCGACCCACACCAGCCGCAGCAGCACCAGCTCATCGCGCAGCTCATCCAGGCCTTCTGCCCTCCCATGGACCCGACGCTGCGGCCTAGCGAGCGGATCCACCACTACTGGGTGCACTGCCTGCCGAGCATCCACGGCCGAGGCTTCGCAGTGCTCGACAAGGCCATCATGACGCTGTGCGCGGGGTTTCTCGGCCGCGTCATGAGCGATGAGTGTCTGCAGCAGCGCGCCATGACCATGTACGGCGAGGCGCTGCGCGGACTGTCGACCGTCATGGCGGCGCCCAATTTCGTGGCCAGCGACAGTCTGCTGGCAGCTGTTATGTGTCTCGGCATGGCAGAGGTGTACTCGGCCCCGACGCAGCCTGCGCAGGACATCGGATGGGCTAGCCACAACAAGGGCGGCTGCGAGCTGCTCGTGTCGAGGGGGGCTAGTATTTTGCAGAGCGAGCTAGGCCGCGGCCTGCTGCTACGCTTCCGCGTTACTGGGGTATGGACCCAACTTGTCTACGAACCGCATCGTGCTATACTGAATTCTGGGTCTGGAACCCCCACAAAACAGCTTTATACAGCCGTTGGCAAGCGAAAACCGTTTCCCTTCGCCGACCCGCAGTTAAGACAGATCTCCAAGGCGGCCAATCAGAATTATTACGACAGCCTTATCGACGCCATGGTCGACATCCCCGGGCTGCTGCACGATCTTGACACCTTGCGCCAAGGGGTCTTTATCTCCAAAGACGACCTGCAAGACATCCTAGCGCGCAGCAAAGCGACGACGGCAGGCCTCGGCGCGTGGCTGGTCGAGTTTCTAGCCGAGAACCGCTCGGCGTATCACTGCGTTTGCGTCGACAGACCACGCCCACGCCCACATCCAAGAGGTGACCGTGCTTATGATGATGTCGACCTGTTCCCCCACGCTGGCGCGTTCCGCTTCCAGAATCTCCTGGCCGCCCAGGCCGTGACCCATTTTTGGGCTGCTCTGGTTGTGCTGGCGCGGTGTGTTGCCGCGTGCCAAGCCCTGAGCAGGGGCAGTGCGGACATGGACTTGGAGAGGGAGGTTGACGAGGAGGTAAGGGATGCGTGCATGCTGTTGTGGGAGTGTGCGGCGCCGTCTTTGCCCTTGCCGGGGGTTTCATCGTCGTCATCACCATCGTCTTCATCATCATCGTGGTCGTCGGCAGGGTCATGGCAGGGGTATTGGGAGGAGGCAATCGTGACAGATCCTCGAGTGCTTGGGTGTTGCTTCGCAGACATGATCTGCTCTACCGCTGGGTACTTTACAGCGCGGGAGCGAGGCATGTCTGGACCGATCATCCTGTTGTTCCCTCTGTGGATTGCCAAGGATATGTACGCGAACATGCACGACGATATGGCGAGGCGCAAGGAGGCGTTTTGTCTGGAGGTCTTCAGCGGGTTGGCGGCAAGGGGGATGAAGATTTCGGATGCGTTGATGAGTTTGTCTACGAAGACTCCATAAAGGGGTTGGTGGTGTTGGCACAGCCTGGATGCAACGACCGGGTCAGCACCTATTGGTCGGCAGCGTACCTGATATGCTTCAGGGGTGAGATCAACTGTTCTCAAGTTAAAATACACACAACAGCTCCCTCGTCTCTACGCTCCCATCGGCAAAGGGAACAGAGCTCGGTCTTCGGGTGAAAGCTGAAAGATGAACTAATCCCATTTGGGTTTCATTTCAGCGAGGTTTGGAACCGACCCCTGAGTCTTGGCGGTCCGTGAAAAGGGGCACCGGGCTCATTGTCGCGTTGCCTCTCGGTCCATCCACAACCGCGAAAACTCATCTCCCACATTCACTCCGTACAGCCAGAACAGATCCGGCTGTTCCCCAGCATTCCAGTAGTGCCCGGCTGGGAGCTTCTCCCGCTCTTCCTGCGGCAGTCGGTTGTTGCCCAGCTGCAGAGTCAGCGTCTTGACTTTCTCGATCCTCTCTCCGCGCGCCTTCTCCCAAAACTCCAGGGCCTTTCCCATCATTGCCTCTACCCGTCTAGAAGAGAGGCTTGCGACCAACACCGCCAGGGTACACGCATCCTCAACCGCCTGACACGCACCCTGCCCCGCAGTCGGCGCAATCGCGTGTGCCGCGTCCCCGACGAGCACCACCCCCTTCCCCTGCGACACCCAGCTGGGGATGTTGGGCAGCGCGTAGTACGGCCAGATGGAGATTGCCGGGTCGCGCTCCAGTTCAAGAGGGTGCAGACTCTGCCACTCCCCGACGCCCTGCTGCCACAATTCGAAGAGCCGCGCCCCATCCTCCGCCAGCGCGGACCACCCGGACCTGTCCTGCTCAGGATACCGTAGCTGCGTGCCCACGACTACCTCGGAGCCGTCGAAGCTTTGTGGCAGCATCAGAAGCGCACCTGTGCGGCCGTGGAATATAGCTGGTAGAGAGCGTCGTGGGTCCTCTTGTTGCTGGTGGGTAACCAGCGACAAGGCAAGCTGGCCGGAGTAGACGGGCGCATACTCCCGGCCCGGACACACGTAGTCGCGAAGCTTGGAGTGAATGCCATCCGCTCCAACGAGCAGCGTCGCGCGGCCAGTCGAGCCATCGACGAACTGAAACGTCACGCCCGCAGGAGTCTCCTCCACCACACCCGAGATCTGCTTTTCAAAGTGAACCGGGATCCCTCGCTCCGCGGCGAGCTTTCTTAGCTCGGTGACGACGATATGCCGGTGGATGCGCATGGCTTGGTATCCGTACCGCGCCGTGCTGCCCATCAGGAACTCGCTGGTCGTCTGGCCGGCGGCGTCCTTGAAGAAGATGGTCTCGAAGTTGAAGCCAAGATGCTGGATGCGTGCGAGTAGGCCGATTTGGTCGAGGATGCGCAGCGCGTTGGGCGCGAGCATCAGAGCGCCCCCGTCAGGCGAGGCGGTGCTAGCGCGGAGCTCGTAGACGGTGCACGGGATGGAGTTTTGCTGGAGGAGCAGGGCGAGAGTGAGACCCTGGTGCACTCTCGTTAGTGGGCATAGCCCGGGAAGGCTGTGTGCACATACTGCTATTCCAGCGCCGGCAATGGCCACGTGAAACCTGGCTTGGCTCATAGTGAGCCGCGTGCTGTGCCACTCCTGTCTTGGCTGGGGTGTAACTGGGGGTGATTCTCTTGGTGCACCCAGCCTAGCGAGTTGCCGGTTGACTTGATCTACTGGTTGATCAAACCTCGGGGCCAAGGCTCATTAAAATGAAGAAGCGAACCTATCTTCCGGTATCAAGACGGGATTGGAGACGGAGAACTCTAGCATCTTCGCCAAGCTGAATGCTTACATGACCTTATGTAGTCCGCCCCAAAGGAGAAGCATTGCACCGAGTACGGCACTGGCATTCCAGCTGGTGGAGTTTGAAGGATACCTATGAAAAGCCGTTGTTAAAAGCCGTTGCCTAGCCCTATGATCTATCTAGCGCATAGCGCTTACTTAGCTCGAGCTCTCCCCTGTGCAAGTCCATGCGGTGAGGCTTAGCCTTATCGCCGATCGCCCCTTACTCAGGGGTCATGCCCGACTGAGAAAGAGTTTGCGACCCTGTAAGGGGACCACCGCCCTGAAACGGTGGCAAATTCCGAGTCCGAGGAGCTGGAGTCAACATGAAGCTGACATAACAACTGGTATATGTCTGCCGTTGTTATATCTCCCCATTACCACCGCAGCGGAGACGATACCCACCCGTCCCTCTCAGCTTTTCAGCAAGCTACCAGACCCTGGCTCGTCCACAACCAAACGTCCTCATCTTCCCCTACTCCAGGCTACGCTCCATCACCACTTACTCATCACCCCTCACCTCTTACATTTCCTGCCATGTCTGGACAGACAAGTTTGAACGTCAGCATCGTCGGCGCTGGTATCGCAGGTTTGGCTGCAGCCATCGCTCTCAGACGTGCGGGCCACGTGGTGACGGTGAGGATGCTTTTTCATGCCATGTCAAGCGTGTTGGAGGCTAACGTCGGATGTCACAGATCTTTGAGAAATCCGCCTTTGCCCGCGAGGCTGGCTTTGCCGTCTCCATATCCCCGAATGGCACCAGAGTATTGAATTCGTTTGGTACGTCAGAGAGCCGCTCCTGATTGCGTCTTTTTCTCGCAAGCTAACGCTGCTACTTGACAGGGTTTGACTATGGCCGTGCTAAAGCTCTGGATTGTACTAAGGTACGAGCAGGGTTCCTATTGCTAACGCTGGATTCAATCCGCAATCGATGCTGATATCATAGTCAGGTCGAGGTCTTTGACGCCCGCAGTCTGGAGGCCCTTGTCGAAATTGGACTTGATGATCATCTCAAGGTACGGTACTCATCATACCTCCCGCATAAGTTTCCCTTCGTGTTCATAATGTTCCGTTTGCATGCTAACCCACCGCTTTCCTTTGCCAAACAGGAGATGCAAGCTCCGTGGGTAGTTTTGTTCCGACCAGATCTCCACCAGGAACTGCTGCGTCTCGTGTTTGAGGACGACGGGCGAACCGTCGTGCCAACGCTCAAGCTCTCCGCAAAAGTGGTCTCGGTGGTAGGTTGCCTCGGCTTGGAAAACCCGAAAAATAAACCGTTTGGCTAACAGTGAATACAAGGATATCGAATCAGCAACACTCACATTGGAAGACGGTTCCACCTATGCGGCCGAGCTGGTGGTGGGAGCTGACGGCGAGAAGGTATGGTAATCACCCAGCTTGGACTGTGTCCACGAATATGGTAGTAGTAGCTGACACATCTTGCAGTCCGTCGTACGGTCAGCGGAGGGATTCAAGGGTACCGGGGCGGTCGGTGATAGCCCTTTCAAGATCTTCCGCTGCATGATTCCGACCAAAGAGTTCGAAGAAGATGAGGTTCTCAGGCCATTCCTGGATAAAAAACGGCAGGCACTCTCGGCGTATACCGATGGGATCAAGATCATGACGTGGTGGGGATGTAGAAAGTAACTTACCTCCTTTTTGTTTGGGCTGTCACTTGCTGACCTTCTCAGCGGAGAACTGCAAGACCTCGAATTAGGGTACCTAAGGCTCGACGAGACGGGCTCCCCCAAAGGTAAGTCAGGCATCTTCCATGTCGGTTGTCTCGGCCTTGTCTCTTTACTAATACCCAATACATACAGACTACAAAGATGAGGTCCTCAGAGAGGCGTTGCTCTCGGAGTCTAAAACTTACCATCCAATTCTACATCGGGCTCTGAGGTTCGGAGGACTCCAAGCCAATTCAAGTTGTGGGCTTAGCTAACAGGTCTTATCTTGGATCCTGCACTTAGCAAAGCCAAAAATGTCTCCAGCTGGGACATCAACTTCAGCACCCCCCCGCTACACTGGACGCGAGGGAAAGCGGTTCTGATCGGTGATGCGGTCCACTCTGTGAGTCGTTTTCACATTCATGCCCCTGAAACCGACTCGTGCGCCACATCCTGACACCAAGCCCACAAGATGTTCCCAACCACAGGACAAGGGGCATGCCAATGCCTCGAGGACGCCGCTGCCCTTGGTGTGTTCCTAGAGAACCTGGATTCCAAGGCGGATCTTGCAGGTCGTCTGTCACTTTTCCAGAGCTTCCGCCGCAAGAGGGTAGTCGCTGTCCATGCCACATCCGGCTTCCTGCCTGGCCAAGAGAGCCGCATCACCGAGCAGATGGCGAAGCTCTTGCCAGGAGGAAAGCCCCTGTCCAGCCCGGTGGATACAATTGAACTGTCGAATCGGTAGGTTTGTCTGTGTCTACCTTTAGTTGTTTTACGAGACTTGGAGTGCTAAAGTCAGCTGCTAGATTTGATGTCATTACTGAGAGTAGGAGATACCTCGAGGAACACATGGCGCTTCCTATTCCATCGGCTCTTTGAGAAGTCACAGTTTTGTGGGAATGTGACAATGGAGCTAAGGGGTATAGATGATGAAGAGTCTCAGGGAGTTATTATACTAGTACTAGTAAATTACTACCCCTAGTACAGTGCAGGTGGCTTGCGGCTGAATTTGACGTCCGGCCGCAAATATGCACAGCCCGCCCGGCGCCCTCAGTGACTCAGCCCCTCGCTGGGAGGTGTTAAAGTTCTCGCCCCCCCCATGCCTCAATCTCAATTTCGTCAGGTAATGTAGATGATGACTTACAAGCAATTTCGAGAAGCCATCGGCCCCTTATTCTGTTCAAAACCCCTTCCACCTCCTTGGTTCCTCGCACCAATAGACTCAGACTGTCAAGTGTCTTTGCAAGGAGTTTAGGATGGAGTCTCAAAAAGTGGACGCGTTTCAGTATAGACCGCTAGCAAAGGACCGCTGCGAAATCCGGCTTGTCAGGATAGTCAACGTCCAGGAAGACCCAGGAAAGGAAGTCATCATGCACCTCCAAGTCTTCAGCTCACCCCTCGACGAGGCCGGGCCGTACATTGCTGTCTGGTATGCCTGGGGCGATCCCACGCCTACCAGCAAGTTAGTTTGCAACAATGCGGCTAATTGGGTGCCCGAAAACACCTTCTGGACCCTCTACACCATCTACCATTCCACTCAGCGAGCCTCAACCAGAGCTGTACCGACCAGGCGAGCAGGTCACGCTTTGGATCGACGCTCTCTGCATCAACCAAGCCGATGTCGATGAGAAGAACATCCAAGCCCCCTTGATGGGACGGATCTAGAGTCAAGCTATAGGCGCGATCGGGTACATCGGTGCGCCGGCACATGGAGAAGACCCGCATGCTGGTTTCCACGCTCTGGCTTGGTTTGGCAATTGTCCCATTATCAAGCCTCCCGAGGGCATCCCTGCCGATCAGTCCGATCCTCGATTCCAGGAGTGGTTCGCGTCATACCAGGCTTCGCAGGCAACTGAGACCCCCAAAGACTTTGGCAGAAACCTCGCTGCTCCTGTTCACCAATGATTGGTTTATAAGGTCCTGGGTCGTTTAAGAGATGGTGCTTTCTCGCAAAACCGTCTGCCTGTACGGCTATGGTCAGCACGTGGTGAGCTGGGACCTGGACACCATGGCGATGATGATAGATTGGGGCCAGAGCGCAAACAATTACCAACCAGGCCTGCACAAGGCTGAAAAGGTCAATGTTAAGGGGATTGAAAAGGCCATCCAGGTTGATTCGTGGCGTGTCCTTCGTTCAAACCTTGAAAAAGAACCTGCTGGCGTCAACCTCGAATATGTCGGGATCCGATCCCGCCGCTCTGTCTAGCAAGCGTCAAGACCAAGAATTGCGGGGGTCAGCGCTCCCTTTTGAAATAATCATGATTGAATCCCAGAAAGGGAGGGTTTTTGGATCGACGAGCGGTGGTTTGTTTGGCTCGTTCCCGAGCACGGCGATGGCAGGTGACGTTGTGGTTGTTCTGTTCGGCGGCCGGGCGCCTTTTGTGTTAAGACCTCTTGGAGCGGGTATGTTCGAGCTGGTTGGAGCGTGCTATTTGCACGGTATCATGGACGGAGAATGGGTGACTGCTGTGCTTCGTTCTGGGCAACTTGAGCTCTTTAGAGAATTTGTGATACAGTAGCGGCGAATAGCCCCGTCTGCAGATGTTGTATCTACTATCTAGCGAAGAGGAGGAGAGGGGGATAAACAACGCCATCGAGCTCAGCAGAACGAGGCCGCTAGGATAGCAAATAATAAAAGATGTCTCGCAGTTACACTGAGAAGATTTGCTGTTTTTACATCGGTATATAACCTAAGGAAAGTCTCAAAATGACCCCGTATAAAGCTCCCCAATACCTAAGGAGGTATTCTTACACCCATTGTATCACTGTATCTATCCGAAAGTCTAACATGACAATCCAAGAGAGACCCAATCAACTCCGCCGCTCCCGTAGATGCCCTGCATCTAAGAATTTCACCAGTGAGGGGTGTTGACAGCGAGCCCCATCAGACAGCCACCAATGAGACCGGCGATGGGGACAGTCACCACCCAAGAGAAGAACAGAAGAAAGAACCGCTTCCAATTAACCGCCTTGTAGGTCCCGTTGCAAAGACCAACGCCAACCGTCGCGCCCGTGATGCACATGGACGTCGAGACGGGCAGTTTATATTGTGAGAAAATGAGAATGGTGATGGCAGCACCCATCTCCATGGAAGAGCCACGGCTGGGCGAGTGGTAGGTGAGCTTGTTGCCCATGACTAGTGCCAATGTTAGCCAAAGCATAAAGTAGGTCCGGGGACGAAGGGGGGAAGAAAATAGGGGGAACGGATCTGGCACCAAGGACTCGGACTCACCCTTCATGATGTTGTAGCCGTAGGTAATGAAGCCAATGCAGATGGTGGCAGCAGTGACGCCGAGCTGCCACATGGGCACCTCAGCCTTGGACGCGCTTGGGTGCCCAGTCGACCAAGCAGCGTACATGCCGGCCCAGACACCGACGGCGTTACCGACATCGTTGGCACCGTGCGCGAAGGAGGCTGTGCAGGCGGTGAGGACTTGAACGAAAGAATAGAGATGCTCGACTTCATTGGGGTATTTCTCGGCGTAGGCGTAGACGCGCTCCATGCGGCGTCCCTCGGGAGTATTTCGTATGCCGATCTGGCTAGTGTGGATGTCGTAGTGGGTGCCGTAGAGGAGAGCAACAATGACCATAGCAGGGAGGCGCTTGACCATGGCGATGAGGTTGCGCGTCTCGTGGATGGAGCCGGCGCTAAGCCTGTTGGCATGGAGCTGACGCATCGCCCACCCGAGAGGGCCCTTGGTCTTGCGAAGATTGGCGTGATGGCGCTCTTCAGCGTCACGCAGGAGCTGCTGGTACTGTGCGTACGAGTACTCGACGAGGCCCCCAGGACCCTTCTCGCTGTCTCGGACGGAATCGGCCGCGCCGACCGGTGCAATTTCCATGTCAGCGCTTCCTTTGGGTAGCTTGGCGGCAGTGGTGGAGTCCTCCGAGTCCGACTCGGTGGTCTTCTCCTGGACGACCTCGTAGTTCGGAACCTTGGCTTTCCGCGTCTCGGCGTCAGGGGGCGGAGGGCGCTTGAAGAGCAAGGGCCCCTGGAAGAACATCCACCACTTGAGTGTGTCGTCCTTTTTGACGACCTTGGCGTGGACGTAGGGGACGAAGAAGAGGGCCGACAGGAGGCAGAGGCCGAAGCCAACGCCCAACGTAACAGACGCAATGAACGAAGGCGGCCTCTTGTCAAGGCCAAGGTTTGGAGAGCCCTTGTAGACGATCGAGAGCGTGCAAATGGTACCGGCGATAAGGAAAAAGGCGGGCGAGGTCCAGACGGCCCACGGCACAGGATTCTTGCGCTTGTGGACGGTGTACTTGATGAGCAGAAAGATAATGGCAGCAAAGCAGCCCGAGATGAAAGGAGCCATGGCTAGGCCGGCGAAGATGGCACCGAGGCCTGAGCCATCGCTCCAGCCCCATTGAACCTTGCTCGCCCCGACGGCAGCGACACCAACACCGGCAATCGACGAGACCAGGGAGTAGGTGGAGGAAACGTGGGCCGAGTTTCTCGTGCACCACATGACCCAGATGGCGGCGCCGGCAGAAGAGCAGGCAAAGGCGAGCAGTTGAACTCCTGCATTGTCGCCGAAGGCGGTGCTGGGAATGATCCCGTTCTTGATGGTGGATGCGGTCCGGGCGCCCACCGCGAGAGCACCGGTTATCTCAAAAATCGTGCAAAGGATCATGGCCTGTCGGTAGGTGACGGATCGCGACGAGACACTCGTGGCCCAGGCGTTGGCGACATCGTCTTGAAGGATTTGGTTAGTACAGTGCACGCTGCCAAAGGTAGGTACAGAAGCAGTTGGGCGGGAGAATACGTACTTGCACCGTTGTTGTACGCCTCGAGCAGCGCAAACATGCTGCCCAAGGCGAAGACATAGGTGTAAGCATCGAGGGCCATGGTGGGTGCGCTCGCCTGCGATGTCGCAGGTCGGGCTATTAGTTCCGGTGGTTAGCAAGACACCGAGGACAGCGTCAATCACCGCTGCGTGTGCTGAAGTTGAGAGCAGGAACACTGGATCAACTTGTTTATGAAGGGACAGCCAGGAGAGATAGGAACATTATTCGCTCCGTGCCGCATGTCGCCATCTATGTACACAAAATCGCCACGCCCGAGTTAGTGGATGAGCCAACGGTCTAGACCGTCCAGATCGGTATCCAACCAGGCTAGCAGAAGACCCGAGGGACTGGACTCGGTCACATACGCGAAGGAGAGAAAATTGACTCGGAAAGTTTCCTCCCTTAGCAGGAGAGAATGGGGGCCTTACCTGAGACATAGAGAAAGTGGTCGCCATGTGTCTAGACTATAGAAATACAACGGTACCTAGGTAAAACACGTGTTGGAAATGGGGATTGAGATTGGTCGAATCTCACCCGGATCTCGAAACCTTCCCGATCGGTCAATGAAAATGGGAATCTGGCCGGGGCTCCCCTTTCATACACCGACTGAGGTATTATAAGGCATTTTTTGCAATGTTGCACCTTGTGATACCTTAATTGAGGGATAACGAGGTTGACGCATCGTGGAAGAAATGTACAGACTTGAGATCTAGGAAGAGGCGCGAAGAGTAGGAAAGGAGGTAAGGTTCCAAGGGCCCAATTCGATTTGGGCTGAGCACGTGAGCCACTGCCTGGAGGGGAACCTTTGGGCCTGTACTCCGTACGGAGTAGATACATGTGGCTGGGTGGCCAAGGCTTAGCTCGTAGCCAAGGAAGCTTGGAGAGCTTAGCGGAGCTTCTTCACCCCTTGGCTCGAGCTTCGCATCCACTCATCCACTCAGGGGCCGCTATCAAAGGCACAAAATCATGCGGATATGAATCTCAGGCAACACTGCACTTTCAAGAAAGCGAACATACAATTTGCAGTGGGAAAACCGATCATCGTTGGGTTCCGCTCACACAGCCACAATGGCCATTTGAGCCACATTGCCAAGTCTGGCATACAGGTTACAGCCGTCTACAATTTCCAGATCAACCGAGTCAACTCCAACTACAACGCCAGTCAGTTAGTTCATCAGCGTACGAAGAAGGTCAACGCAGGAAGGTCAATCGTCAACACCGCGAGGTCTAGGCGGCTGGAGGGCGTCAGGATCTCAAGATGTATCTGTCCACTGCAAATTTGGCTGGGAAACAACACCTCACCAAAATCACGCACTGTTTGCCAAGGAAGGCTTGGCGGCCATATCTGTGGCTGGGTGAGCGGAATCAACGATCATCGGTTTCTCCACTTAAAATGGTAACTGTTAGATCCGCTTTGATAACCCTAACGTGACCACCTACTCCTAGGCCTTTCACTTTCCAAATGCATCTCGAAGACCGTTAGTCTCTACATAGTGAACTGAACTAAAGGTCTCAACATTTTGTTCCTCGCCTACATCAGTTTAGCGATCTGATGGTTCTGATATTAGGTGATTTAAGCGAAGTTCTTCGTGTATCCCGACCCCGCGTTGGTGTGCCCACTTCTCCATTCTTTGCGCGATCAAAGTGGTGTGGGGATCTTTCCAAAGACTTCCCGAAAAACGAACGTCGACAACTACGATGCAGCAGGTGAGGAAAGGTGCCCGGACACCTTTCTCATTCAACAAGCCCTTCTTGAAACGTCAAATGGCATTCTGAAGGTGTTAGTGACGTTCTCTATGACCGACCAAGAATTAGCCATACGTCGAGCTCCGACGATGAGGTTAACGTGGCCCTACCGAAAATGAAGATCTGGCGTCACGAGCTGGCGCCATTCCTCGGCGGTGATTGTTGAAAAATCAAGGTTGGACGTTCCCTGTCGGAGTGGCTGGCCAAAGTTGACTCCGGGTTCGAGGAGTAGGGGATCGTCTTTTGACCAAGGCCACGCGACGAGATTGAAGATGGAATCGACCCTTACGCTCACGTTGGCTTGGAACGAGCGGTCGGTCTGGACAACAACGGCTGCAAGCAATTCCAAAGGAATTCCACCCTCTTGCCTATCGTCTTCACGCATCCAGATCTTGACACAGTTGGGCCGGCGGTGCTTACGGTTCCCCCAGTCGTCGCTTTCCACCACAGCCGCGTACTGTCGTGCGTAGAAGCTGGATCGTCCGAACTCAACGGCTGGACCGGCTTCAACGACGGCAAGGCCGGCGCTGGCTGATAGCGACGCAGTGTAGTGCCACCCGCGTTGCTCCAGCGTGCCCGTTGACCGCAGGAACTTGGGTCCGTACCGCAAAACCGCGGGGTCATGGTCTGGGTTTCCGGGTGGCCTCGCTTGGAATTCTATGACAATGTCAGCCTTGGAGAAGCGAAAGGCCGTGGCGTTTCCCTTTTGGAATTGGAAGCGGAATGCGAGCAAGCAGGCCTCCTGGCCGGCCCAGTTCCCGTACTCGACTTTGGTCAGGCTGCCAATCACGCTCAGGCTCCCAAGGTCTCTCTGTGTGATTTTGGTGCGGTTGAAGTCTGTGTCGTCACGATTCCTTATGCCAAGTTCATGGGAAGACTCATCCAGGACAAGGGGGGCTTGGCGGGGGGAGAATGCCGGCGTTGTGTCCTTTTGGTCCCCGATGTTGCTTGCCATTGTGGAACTTGACGACTGAAGTTGGAGAGATGAGGACCCACGTGCGCCCCGCAAAATCCCACCCGATGTCGCACACCTTGAGTGGCTGAATCTGCACAACCCCAGGCATGGCAGGAATATTGCGGCTGAGGTGCGGCTGAAATTGCGCCTAACAACACATGTCTATGTGGGGATCTGCTGGATTGACAACCTAGCTGCGCGGAACTAAGGTTGATCAGCTTCACCACCCAACTAATCGACTCATCATTCTAGTCTTGGTCGATTTCGCGCGGTGATGGAGCGTCTGCCACAGAACGCGTGGGCTCACACGGGCGCTGCCATTTCCCGCGCCATCTTGTGTAGCCGTGACCAGGCGCTTCTCGGCGACTTTGACGGAGCTCTGCTAACACTCGACAAGGCCTCGGACCTCGAAGGAATTTCGGACCGAGACAAGATACAGCTGCATCGCGAAGCCGCGCGGGTCTTGATGCGCCGGGGATTTCCACTTCTTGCAAAGGAATGCCTCGATCAAGCCGTCGCGATCCCCACGCAGCCAGACGACAGCACCGGACGCCTGTCTCTCCTCGTGCACAGATGCTATGTCTCAAGCGTGGGATGTGGTGAGGAGCTCGATGATGATGCCGAACATGTTTTGGAAGAAGCTCAACAATATCTTGCATCACAACTGAATGTTGATCGGCTGAGCGGGTCCGGTGAAACGCAGTCCGACGACTTGAAAGAATGTGTGGAGATTTACGACTTCATGACCAAAATCGCCATGACTGACAGCCTTTTGCGCGGAAGGAGGGGCTCTAATGTCAAGTCCCTTGCTGCTGCCAAGTTTGGCCTCTTGATGCGACACCTAGAAAACGACAAACGCTATTACGACATTCATACCATCCTAGCCTCGTTTTTGACCTGCACCGCGGCCAATCAATGCATCGAGCGACTCGAGTCCATGCTCGCTTCAGAAGATGTGCCGAACGTTTTTCGGGGGCTTTGGCTGATCGCGCTGGCGAAGCAGTTGGCAAAAGCGTCGCGCATCGAGGACATGAAGTTGCGACTGGAAGAAGCCGACCGGGCTTTTCAGTCTTGCGCACACCGCTGGGGACTCCTAGAAACCCGGCTACTGCGGCTACAACACGGCCTAGCTACATCTCCCAACACCCTCGCAGACCTGGTTGACCTCGCCCGTGAGCATCTCCAAGCCAGTTTCCCATACGGTGTGCTACAGACAATACTCCAGGCCCTCAATGTGGCCTTCAACATGGGCGACTTTGCAATTTACTTCAAACTGCAGGAAACCCTCCACAGCGTTTGCACATCGACAGGCCTTGTCAAAGAAAAGATGCTTCGCGAGATCCAGCTACTCGCAGCCCTCAATGCCAGCTCAGGTGATGCTGGCAAGGTGCTGGAGCTTGGACAAAGCCTGTACGAGGAATGCGTTCGCCGCAAGTATTGGATGCTGGCATACCTGGCGGGCCGCGTTTTGTCTCTGGCCCACATGCAACTTGCCAACTTGGACGAGTCTGAACGCCTGGCTCTCGAGATTTACGACATGTCTTCACGCGAAAGCTTGACATGCGAGTCGCAGGCCGAATACCATCTAGGACACATACGAAGCGCTCGAGCCACAGTTGAGGGAAACCCATCAATGCCACACAAGCTCCGAGAGATTGTGGACTGGCTGCTCACCACCATTCCAAACAATGATAACGTATATAGTGACCCAGAAGAGCTGGAAATAGCCGCTGACAAGCTATGTCTCATTGCTAGCCTCGAACTGGAGATGTCGAGGGACGGTGCGCCGGATGAGGAGACGTTGGTAGTTAAAGCAATGGAGGCAATCGCTCGAGCACGACTCCTTGCCAAGAGCCTACCAGACGATGAATCCTCACGCATAAATGCAAACTGCGACGATTTACTCGTCATTCAGCTTCTCCATGATGGCAGAAGGGGAGTCGGGAACGGCTGCAAGGAAGTAGAAGCCATTCGGATTTGTGACAGACTCATCGCTCAACACCAGTCCCGTGGCCCCAAGTTCACCGAAGCCATGAAACACCAGATGAGGGCCAACTGCCAGCTGCAAAGGGCCCAGAAGGAGACGGATCTAGAAAAACGAGCCACTTATCTCGGTTTAGCAGAAGCTGACATTCTGCAAGCCGAGTCTCTTTTGACGTCCATCCGTTCACGGCAACAAGTCATGGTTGCCCGTCACTCTCTCTGTCGGCTGTACTTGATGGCTAAAGGAATCTATCGCGGTCTCGTTTCGAACGAGGCCGTCCTACACACCCTGCAAGGCCTGGAATCAGCCTGTGACATGTTGCGGAGAGAGCTCTCTGCGCTCGGCAGTCTCGAAGCGTTGCGCCAAAAACAAAAGTTTGTTGCTGTCAACCAGGTACGCGATCTTTACCAGTGGGCCATCAGCGTCAGTATCGGCGCCCGGGATGAAGCGGCGACTTGGTGGTGGAGCCAGAAGCGCAAGGCCAGGAGCTTGAGTGACATCCTCGGTATTGGCATCATGGTACCAGCCGCAGTGCGGGAGAGGATAGCACAGGATAACACAGCCGCTGAGCTTTACCAGAAGCTCGTGTCGCTCCAGACAGCGCTCAGCACAGCAGCAGAAATTGAGAGGGTGTATATCCGGCAAAACCTCGAGGAAACCGAGGACGAGATACGAAATCATGACGCGTTCAGGGAATTCATCTTGTTGAGGGACGGAGCAGTTCGTAGCATTGATGACCTCGAATTCATCACAGTATCACATCAGGCCGGCCTACCAACAGAAAGGCGCATCATCTTCGTGGACTGGGTCCTCCACAACGACTCAGTCTTTGTCTTGACGGCAGATTGCGCACGCCCTGCCGAGACTTGCAAGTTGACCATGCTGCCGTTTGGCAAGTCTTACATGGATGAATGGACCCGGCAACATTGGCGAACCACAGAGGGACGGAGGGAATGTCTCCAACGTGATAACACAAAGGATCCGTCCAAGCCGATGCGGCAACTCGACCGTTTAATCACACCAGTTGTCGACGCCTCTAAGCCGGGAGATTTGCTTATATTTTCTCCAACCGGGTTTCTCTCCTCGCTGCCACTGCACGCTTTGAGGGTTAACAGTAGTAGGGACTTAGGCTTCAACGACAACAGGTACCTGATAGAGCGCAACCCGGTAGTCTACGCACCGAGCGTCTCCATCTTGCAAATCTGTCTTACCAGAAGCAGAGAAGCCAGGGGACTAAAGTCACGGCCTTCTGTATTCTTTGGCATCATGGATGACGCCGAGCACGAGGCTCAGTTGATTTACGAGCAACTGGAGGGCTTGGCGATGCAGGACGAAAGTAGTCGTGCGTTTTGCGGCAACCGAGCGACTAAGGAGACTTTCACTAAGGTTGTACCCGGGGCCGGACTTATTCATTATCACGGGCATTGTAGGTTTGCAGTTGACAACCCGTTGAAGCAATGTCTTGTTTTGGCCTCGGGTGACCCAGGTCCGGGTGGCCAACACTCAACTCATCAACATAAAGGGGAGGCTGGCGGGGGTGACAGCTCGCTTCACAGTTTAACCACGCAGCCTCGGGCACAAAGCGGCGATCCTCGCGAATCTGCGGAGGCAAATCCCCCAAAGGCAACGAGGGATCTACGGGGCGCTGCCAGAATCAATCCCCAATTGGAGAACATGCTATCCACAGAATCGGTCCCGGACCCCGGCAGTGGCCATGAAGTCCTCCTGTCGCTGCAAGAGGACGACAACTCCGCCGACAACTTACTTCTGGTCCCTGAGGTATTCAACCTGAGCCTTACAGCGCCGCTGGTAGTGCTGATAGGATGCGACTCGGCCTCGCAGCTGGTGTCGACCGGTGATGAATATCTCGGGCTCATCACCGGTTTGCTCTGTGCCGGTGCCGCGTCCGTCATTGGCGCCTCTTGGCCGATTCCCAGTGCCGCCGGTCGGGCTTTTTCCGGTGCATTCTATGCGACTATGGCGTCCTCGGGCCTCGGCGGGCATGGGATGATTGACTTGGCTGAGGCGCTTCAAGAAGCGGCATTAACTGTCATGGATGATCCGATTACCTCGGCACCGTATTATTGGGCAGGATTCTGCTTGTACGGGTCATGGGTCTTTCGGAAATGATGTACCATAAGAAGCGACGTAGAAGGCATCTGGGATCTCTTTACTACCCAGGTAGTAGTTCGTAGCGCTGCTCACCTCCTTGAGCTGCTATCATGTTGGCCTCCAGCCCGCGACGCTAATGTAGGTTAGAAAGAGTCGTACTAGGGTTGGAATTCCGGTAGGTAAGAAGGTATTGTAGGTATGCAGACTTGTATTTAAATTCTGGGTTTATCAGTTTGCTATTTGCTACCAACCTACGGATACAGGTAGTCCCCACTCCACAGGCAAAGGAGGATGAGATTGCGGGCGCTGTCCAATCTCCCCGCTTCCAGCCACCTCATATCCCCCTAATAAGTTTTCCACAGCCCTCCCATTTGACGCACACGACACAGCGACCGCGAACCGAGTTCGCCGTTTTTACATCGAGGTCATTGAGGACCGGGAGGGGCTCGCGCATCTCGACGGCGGCGACGGCATCACCGGCGATGCTAGGTTTATGGCCCTGGGCGAGTACTTCCGCCGGTGGGTTGCCGGGGTTTTTACCGGAATGGAGCCCGAGCACAATCCCCGCTTCTGTACTTGTCTGGTCCTTGACTCGGAGAGTGTGGCGTCGGTGGCTGCACTGCCCGAGGAGCTGCCACTGTTGCGCTGTGCGGTCGACCGCGAAGAGAAGCAGAAGTTTATGAATACCGGCGAAGGTGCGTGGGTGTGGCTGCTGGAGACGGACTACATGGCGGAGCCCGAGTCGCACGAGGATGCGTATCGCGGCTGGATGAAGATGGATCTGAGGGATGTTGAGTTCTCATGGTTCCGTCGGCTTGGACGGGGCATAAGCCGCAAGAGAGACCATTTTGAACACGAGGAGAGGGAGCCAGGCTCGGGAATATATTGGTTCGACGAATAATAATCGTGCTGATCAGCGCTGCCGCCATATCAAACCAACCATGGATCTCGCAGACGGACGCGTAATAGAGCATGCAAGGGGGGTAATATCCCAACGCCGGTCCGGCCATCAAAACTCAGAAACAGTGGCTACCTATGTTGGGATTGGCAGTTCGAGAAGCATCGTCGTCTCCTTTGGCTCGGAGCTGTTTGCTAGCCATATCTTGCCGAGGCAGTCGTCCGGGCACTGCGACATGCAAACCCCCAGGTCTCGGAGCCAGTGATTGCCTGCTTCTGCTGCAATGGTAGCCATGACATACACGGTAGCAGCAGCTTGCTTGACTGTTCTCAGGCCTTCCGGGCAGAGAACTCCCTCCTTGTTGACGACAATAACGTTAGAATAGTATGTGTCAATTTCATCGAGGCACTCCTTGGCGAAGCCGACAAGATCAACGTCTCCGCTCGGACGTAGGTTCGCGCCATACCGCAGCAGCATCTCGGTTGCGGCGACGTTGCTGCTCCCGATGGTCCAGCACAGCGGTGGCCGGGTCGCGTCAGCCGCGACGTCGGGGTCGACCCCTCGGGCCAGCATCTCCTCGATGATAAAAAGAGGTGCCGGTGGCGAGCGGCTGATAGCCAAGTACAAGAGATTGCTCTCTCCCAAGCTCGTGTCTAGCGTTTCCGACTGGCGAATCATCTGCAAGACGTTCCTCCATCTACCCGCGGACATGTTTAACTCGATGGCGCTGATCCCTTCAAGCTTTCCTTGCGATGGTTTGGACTCCATAATTTCCTGGAAACGCTGCCTGTCTGGTAGGCTTTGACACACGGCTTTCGCCAGCTCGCTATCATCGAACCGAGCGAGATAATGCAGCGAAGAAGGCCGGGCCGCGGCAGCGCCGTGAATCCGGGCGCCTCGTTCGAGCAGGGCAATCACGACGGCTCGTCGGCCCAGGATAATCGCGAAGTCCAGAAAGCTGAGACCGTAGCTCGCTCCATCCATGTCCATATCCAGCACATCGTCGCTCACGTCTGAGTCGGTGCAATCCGAGCCAGACCTCTCTTCAGCCTCGGGTTCGTCCTGCGACGTTGGAGATGTCGCCATATTTGGTTCCCGGGGAGCCATCACCGAGTCGTCCGAAATGATAGCGTTCGGATCCATATCATAAGAGGAAACGAGGTATCGGACAGTTCGCACGCTCCCTCCAAACACGGCGGTGTGTAACAGCTCGTGCAGGTATGGTACGATGGCGGCGTCGGGCTGACGCATCATGGCCTCCAGATCGTCGTTGTAGGCCAAGACGAACAACTCCTTTTGACTGAAGACCAAGTCGTATGCATCTGCGTCGAGAATCTGCAGATCGAGTTCCAAGACGTTTAGTTTTAGATCCTCCAAGTCGTACAGTCCGGGGAAGTCCTCACGGAGCTTCTCCTGCATGGAGGATCGGGGCTTGAAGGAGGGGTTTCCTAGGCCGAACGTCTCGGGGATGCCTCCGCCAAGGAAAACCAGCAGGTTCAAACTGTCGACATCCGACAACTGAGTCGCGAAGGTGTGCAACCGCTCGAGCAATGCCTCTGTTGAGATGTATGGCGCGTGAAAGGTGAGCGGCTTGTAAGACATGAGTGGCCTGCCAATCGTCTCAACGATCCTTAATGTATTCCGATCCTCGAACAAGGCATGCACCGCTGGGAGAGATCCAAGCTCAATGGCTTTTAGAAGCCACTGCGTTTTCGCAACAAAGTTGTAAGGAGATTCTACCGCGGGCCCGAGAGCTCCTGAATACAGCGCCGCCAGGGTGACGGCCAGCCGGACATCGACACTTTCTTTGACGGCCATGACATACTCGGAGACGAGTTTACTATGCAGGTGAGAGGAGAGCTCCATTTGATGCAATATGGTCACCTAAGTCCAGTCAGCGTACCTCAGCACCGGGCGCACTGCTGTCTTGCATCGTGGATCATGGGTAGAAAGACGTTAGGGATAGGAAAGACGGGAAGATGCCATACTCTGGGATTGTCTGGATCCTTCAGCAGCGCTTGTTCGGCATGAGCTTGGACTTGATGGAAGAGGCTGGAGCATATGTGTCAGCCTGAGAAAATGGCGCAGAGTCCATGTCCGGGCAGCCTCACTCACCTGTCGTCAAGACCCTGAATACTCCTGAGTTCGGATCCTAATCGCCCGAGCGACCACCTCTTTTCTGGATTCGCAACGACGCAGTGCTCCACGACCCACCAGAGAAAGTCGCCATCCGGAAGCAGGACTGGGACGCGGCCCCGCAGGTGATCAAGACACCTTTGGTCGTCGTGCTGGAGCGTCATGGAACTGTCCGGAAATGGCGGCGTCTGGGAGTGGCCCATCATAGAGACGACAACCAGACCGAAGCCGTATATGTCTCGCGGCGGCGAATTCACCCACGCGTGATAGGCGCTCTCACGGTAATATTCCGGCGCCCAAAATCCGGCCGTGCCCGGTATAATGCCAACATGCCGGGGAGACTGGTCCGCAATGCCGCACGTGCTAAAGTCGGCCAGCGCAGCGGCCAGACGGCCGTCTCGAAGGAAGAGGAGAATATTGCTCGGTTTCAGATCGCCGTGGACGAGGCCGTGTCCATGAATGGCCGACAAGCCCGCGGCAATGTCAGAAGAGAAGGATCTTATGGTGGTAGCTGGAATACCCGAGGGATTGTCCCCAAGGTAGGAAAACAGATCTGATATGGCCTGCTCAAACACCAGGCAAGGGATCGTACCGTCGGGGTTCAAAACTTCCTCAAAGAATACCCCCAGGATGCGGGGCAGATTGGTGTGAGCTCTGAGGTCTTGATGCGCAAGAATGCGCAGTTCTTGGATGATCCCGGACAGGGCTTTATGCTGCAGTTCACTCTCAATATTGGCGCTGTCCCGGCTGAACGATGCTTTCGGCCGCTTGATGATGACTTTCTCCACCGCCAGGGCGCCAGCCAGGACCGCTTCATACGCAGCCGAGTACTGACCTTGTGATCTCAGCCTCCATTCTTCTTGGCTGAGTGCAGAACGGCGAAGGACCGGGACCCCAAGGCTGGTGGCGTAGGAGAGGAGGTTGCGATAGCCCATGAGGTAATTGTTCTGTTGCAGTTGGGAGACGGCCAGTTGCATGTCTGAGGAGTGGCTCCCGGCTGAGGCGGGTAGCAGGCAAGCCATGGCGACGAAGGTGGTGGGTGGTATGGCGAACAAGGTGTGGGCAATGGTTCGGTTTCTCGGGCGTGACAGGTAGAACATTGCCAGGCCCCTGAGCGGGGGAAAAATGAGGCCCCGACCGAGGGCAAGGCTTTCCAAATTGGTCCGCGCATGCGATCGAACGGGCTGCCACCAAATTCATCCCATTGGGCCACGTGGATGAGGTGGCGCATGAGCCGCACAGCTCCGAGCTCACGTCTCCGAGTTCAGGTTGGGTCGAAGCCACGAACCGATCGCCGCGCAACTTTGACATGGGATATTCGAGGCTGTTGCCTGCTTCTGCTCCTATGCCTGCCTCGAGGATGATCACATTCAGAGTCCAAGGCATACCGTTTGAGTGGTCATGGGAGGAGCTGGCGCTGGCCATTGTGGAATCCCCGTCAACCATGACCGGGACGCTCTTGCCAGCGCCGGACCCAAGTCTGAAGAGCCAGGTCGCTGTTGTTCAATTCTCTGACGCGATCCCGACTTTCCTAAAGCCAGTGGTGGATGACAGAACCGGCCAGACAACCTCGCATGTCCGTGTTAACGGCGCCGATATACGATTCGATAAGAACTTTTGGGGCATGACGCCCCTTGTCTCTCCGGACCCAGAGGAGGATGTCTCGATGGAGTCAGTGGCGAAGAGCTCCCCATAGCCCATGTGTTGGAACCCGGAAGACATTCCGCTGACCACACCACAGCATCGTTGCTGTGACCGGGCTTGACGGTAACGCGTACGGATCCTGGGCGAGCAGAGAGGTCAACGTCATGTGGCTCCGAGACTATCTCAAGGACGACATGCCAAAATGCAGAGTGCTCACCTTTGGATACAACACGAAGCTCACCATCAACAATAACTATCGCTTTGAAGATTTCTGTAAGGAGCTTCTGAGCCAACTTAGCCTCTCTAGGTCCTCAGATATGGTAATTCTGCATCCTGTTGGGCGGTAGCGCAACAGATCGATATCGGCAAGGTGCTGATTCCATACGGTAGGCTCGATATCGGCCGCTGGTACTCGTCGGTCACAGCTATGGAAGTAGGGTCATCGCCCAGGCAAGGACATTTCGCAGTTGTCTTCCTCCGGTCAACAACATTGAAGGCACGCTAACAGACGTCAGAGTCTCTGCCAATGCAAGCGCTCAGATAATCCTGACCTCAATGCAACACTGACCGCCACCTGCGCCGTGGTGTTCTTCGGAGCAGTCCACAGGGGGATGGAGGCCAGCGACATAGAAGAGTATCTTCGCGATGCGTTTCCCGATCCAAGAGCACGACTGCAGATTGTGCAGCAGCTCAGCGTCGATAACAATGTAGCGCTGAAGGAGCTGCAACACTTCATCGACCTCTTCCCCCGATTCCCAGTCATCTCCATCTACGAGCGGCGCCAAAGCCGAAAACTGGTGAAGCAAGAGTCCGAAAATCCGACTGCAAGGGCGATCGAGAAAACGTGGAAGCGCGTTGGCGAGCCGTACACACCAACAACCGAGCATTCCGCTCTGCTGGGACTCCCTGCCAGCCTGGAGATCTCGATACCGAGCGATACGGACCACTCGGGTATCGCAAAGTTCAGTCATAAGTCGGACAACGTCTATCGAGAGCTTCTAAGGCATCTGAGGAAGGTACAGGCAGAGGTAGACCTGAATGCCTTCCCATATACTCCGCTGCTCCGAGCAAAGCCCTTTTCCGGATTAGGATTACGCATGGAGAAGCTTGTCTCGGACATGATATTCTCCGAAGCGGAATCCGAGTTGCTCGATGCAGCTGATGCAGCGACGCGGACCGCGCGCTATCAACTCACCCTCCTGGACAAGGCCAGGAATAGCATGGACCTTGGGCAAGACAGACACAGACAAGCCAGGACGGTGGTCTTAAAGTTGAAGCAACTCTTGGTTGACCTCATTGGGGCGCTAGAACTTGTCTCCTCCCACCGGGATCCCGGTTCTGGTCCCCCGCATCTCCGTTTTGACACGCTACCATCCAGTACTGCCGAGACGCTCAGGGCTCTTATCCCAGCCCTCGGAGAATTGAATAGCCAGCTTGAAAGGCTAACTGCACGGTCAGCCAGCGGCTCGTCGCTCCTGTCTGCCTTGGCCGTCCCGAATATGAAGGCGGAAGTGCTGGGGAGGATGGCTACCGCTTGGGCAAGGGACGGCCGGCCTGGACAAGGCGCTGCTGTGGAGTGGGTTCCTTTTGAGTGCCTGTATTTTCCGGTCGGGTCGGCACCCGAGGACGCTCGAGATTCGGTAGGCTGGGTCCAGAGGGTGGTGAACCTGTTCACAAAGGCGGATGCCAAGACCCTTAAGCTACGAGCGCGAAGGTTCGGTGTCCTTCAGCGCAATGGCGGGCCGCTCGAAAAGGTCATGGTGGAGTTCCGACCATACCCCTTGAGCATCAGAGTCGGTAAGCAGCCGGGAGAGACGGGAGGGGCCCCACAAGTGGCCGCCGATGAGTATCAGGCCAGAAAATGGGCCCTGACAAGCCTCGCCCGGATGCTGCTCTCGTCAGACGCCGGTCCCGAGACGACCCCCGGTTCGAGGTTTCCGAGTGTTCCGTTCCGGTGCCTATCCGACATGTCGGCTTCGTCGACGCCAAGTTTCGCGATGGTCTTCTCAGCCGAGGGGCTGTACGCCTTGCCCGAAATCATGCAGCGACAGTTGCCCGCGCCCTCCATCGCCCAGCGTGTCGAGCTAGCCCTGTCGTATGCCCGAGCGCTGGCTGCTCTGCACGTGGCGGATATCGTCCACGGCAGCTTCAACACCGACAACCTCTTTTTGCGATTCACGGATGCAGAGCATGATGCCACGCGACATACCGGCATGCGACCTATCACGGAAGCCGACGCCCTGCTTGCCGGCTTCGAGACGGCCCGCAGCCTTGGTGGTTTTTCGGATAAGCTAGATGTAGAGGATGCGGACATTAGGGTGTATTTGCATCCGGATCGCCTCGCACTGGGATCGGCAAAGAATGCGCAGCGGCCTGCCTACGATGTCTTCGGTCTTGGTATGGTCTTGACGGAGATAGGCCGGTGGGAGCTCCTCCGCTCTCTCCCCGGCTATCCTCCGCCATGGCAGTCCGACAGGGTTCGACAACAATTTTGCCGGTCCCAGAGGCACCACTTTTCCGGCGACACCACACCCGAGAATTTGGGATCACTATATGCCGGAGTGATTGCGTTTTGCTTTGGGAAAGGCTCGGATCCGCTAATTGGACACCATAATAGGACGTCGCCCGGACCTAGCGACGATGACTCCGAGGCTGCATGGAAGACGTTGCGTGTAGTAGAGCTCATCCAGGAATGCGCTCGCCTTGTAGGCGGATTGCTCACTGCCGGAAGTTCAAAGTAGGCCGGTCAATGTAGGCAGTCGTCGTTGGTTATGAACTGCGTGATCATCCTCTAAGATACTACTAAACTGTCACCTGCCAGTTTCGCTTGCCCATATCCTCCTCTTGTGCTCTCTCGCAGCCGTATTCATCAACGCTTTTGCCAGAAAGAACACGAACAGGCCAATGTATAGAAAGAGAAAAACGACGGCCGTAACGCCCGAAACAAAAAGAGTCAAGAGCACGACTCCGCTTGAAACATCTTGAAGCTGCTGAGAGGAACCTAGAAAGTCGGTTGTGAGCCCGACCTGCAAAGCGGATAATACAATGTTACAGAAAGCATAGACAATGATAATCCAACGAAAACGTTTCCGAAAGAAGTCGCCGTAACTTGGTGGCAGCAGTCCGCTGTAGCCTCGAAGGAGTTGCCGCCCACAGGACAGACGGGCGAACCGATAGATGTGGTCCAGGCGGTTGACTCTCAGCTCGCCGTAATGAAACCGCCTGTGAACGCCGGCCAGTCCATTGACACTCAGTCCGCCGCTTCCGATGACGGACTCGACGAATCTCCGCCAGCCCGCCCAGGTCACGTCGGCTGGAATTAGGCGGGCGTCGTGCGCCACAGCCCAGTCGTGCTCGTTTCGGATGAGCCAGATATACGAGAGCAGGAAACCGCGCGCGCTCATATCGAGGTCCTTGCATATGCTTACATGGCTAGCCCAGCAGTGGTGCGAGAGCAGATAAGCCGGTAGAGGTTTGACGAAAATTCGCCTTGTCCGAGGACACCAAACGAGGTGCAAATCGGCGCGGCAGGTGAGGGCGATTGCCCTGCCGAGCTCGTGAACCTGGCGATGCAGCGGACGAGCAGGAAACTGCCGCCCCGCCCACCAGAGGTACTTGTATGCGACGTCGAGTCGAGCGAACGAGAGGTCCTCCTTCAAAAACGCCTCGATGTGGCGAGAAGCCAGCAGTATCTCTTCAGTCTCACTGTCAATGAATATGCAGGGCAGATGCTTGGCGAGATCGTCAACCCAGGTCGGGGCCGCTGTTATAGACCGTGTGGGTGCCTTCCAATGGAACAGTTCTGACTCCCGGGGGAACGGCGGAGCGGTTGGAACCCAGTGCGACATCTCCGAGGTCTAGACCAACGTTTCCAGTTATTCTGCAGAGGACCCTCATAAGTAAAGCACCGTGGTTGCATGGCGGTGGGGAGACAGCGAGAAAAACTGTTTGGAAAGCTATCGAGCTTCCAGTGTTAAGTTATCAGCAATTGAGTTCAGCGCGTTGTTGCTACCCCATCGTTTTGATCATTGTGTCCGGAGGACACTAGGTAAGGTAGGTGGTTGCGATACCCACGACGAAGAGAGTCTATACCCCTTAAAAGAGCCTTGACAACCTTGACACTGGGCGTGCTCTGCCTAGGCAGAACACCCCGCTTTGCCACATTTGTTTTCTAATGTCCATTGGTCGCCCAAGTTGTGCAAGTAGACGTGGCATACATCCAAGGCAGAATTAGCTTGCCACTTTTGCACTTTTAGATCGTTTAATACCCCAATGGGATATCAGGGAGGCTAACGCATCTTAGAAGAAAGGAACCTTAGTGTAATATGCTGGGATCTTGGGATGCTCTATGGGAGTTCCCATTTTGGGATGGTCCCCAGTATTTGGTGGCCCACCAAGTGTCTTCACAGATCCTAGGTCCCCAAGTCTCACAGATATCCCAAGGATCCAAGGATCCTAGCCAATCCCAAGGATCCCAGTAACTACAGTTCTTTAAATGCAGCACCTATACTTTGTATTACTCCTAGGCAAAAAATTTTACCTGCAATGGGACAAACATTCCGGTGGAACGGATTGACGGCTCCGCTGTGCGGCCCCGTGGGCGCTCGGACCATTTGCGGTCGAACTGATTGCGACCGGGCGCCGGCAACCAGTTCGACCGCAAATGGCCAATTGGGCCGCCGGGCGGTTGCAGGTATAAATAAGAAAACCCATGCCGGCGGAGCCGAATCCGCCGCCCGTTTGTCACCGCAGCGCGTCGTTCGTCCAATGCAAGCAGTTCGGTGGTGTGATGCCCCGTTTGGCCGGATTGTGCAGAGCATTTTGAATTAGGGGGAAAAAAGACAAAAGGGAAATAAGAAAAGAAAGCGGTAGCCGTTAGCAATGCCAATCGCCCAGCGACTCCCCAGCAAAGCAAGGTGACAACTAGATTGCCGGGGCAAAAAGGCCAACGAAACGAAGGAAAAGAGAGCGGGAGCGAAGAGAGATTAATAGTTATGGCGTCGTTTGACGAGTTATTCGTACCGTTACCAGCGTTTCGAACGGCGGTTTGCCGCGAGCACCGCACCGCCGTCACGGCCAAGTCGGTCGCGCGCGGCACGTCAATTCGCATCACGGCCATTTAGCGGCGTGCACCCGGCGATGCATTGTAGAGGAGGCGTCGGCGTTGCACGGAAACGGGTTGTTGGCCGGCGATATACATGACATCCGGTTCCCCGACCAGGTCATACGCAGCCGGCGAGGGCGAGGCAGAGGCGCGGCGGCGGGCACGCAGCCAATTTCGACCGGGTGCGGGAGATGGTGCAGCGGTTCATGACGATTGTGGCGTACGACGGGCGGCCGTCGCCGATGGATTCGGTTTTGCGGTTGCGGGCGAGGCGCGGTTGCGGGGCGAATTTTTCAGGGCGAGCGACGGGGTGGCGCGGTGGCAGATGGGCCGCGTACGAGAGTATAGCGAGGCGATCAAGTCGTTCCGGGCGCAGTTGTTGGTGTTGATGCACGTGAGCGGCGGGCAGCCGGCACGTGGGACCGAGTTGGTGTTCGGTGCAGTACAAGAACGGGCCGGACGGGGACGTGCGCGGGTTGTTCGTCGAGGACGGGGCGGTGGTGTTCGTGACGATGTACAACAAGACGATGGGGATGAGCGCCAAGGCCAAGGTGATCCACCGGTATTTGCCGCGCGAGGTGGGCGAGTTGGCGGTGTATTACGTGTGGTTGGCGATCCCGTTTTGGCGGTTAGTGGTGCAGGGGGCCAGCCAGAGAGGCGGATGGGGGCAGCCCGTACATATGGGAGCCGCGGGCGGACGAGCCATGGTCGTTTCCCAGATCGGGGTCAGCAGCAGCGGGAGACGAGGATGGGCGGGTAGGCGGCGATAAGGGGGCGGGCGGCAAACGGAAGAGGGCAGTAGGGAGTAACAGAGCCAAAAAACGGAGGCGGACGCGGTCAGCGGCGCGGTTGCCGGACCAGCCACACACAGCAGGCAGGGGTAGGGTCGGGGGAGGGGGAGAGGGAGAGGGAGAGGGAGAGGGAGAGGGAGATGGAGAGGGAGAAGAAAGAGACGAGCTAGAAGAAAGAGAGAAGCTGGGGAGGGCCGGGGAGGAGGATGCAGGCCAGGAGACGTGGTGGCAGGCAGACGTGTGGGATACGAACCGTATCAGCCGGCAGATCGGCACGGTGTCGTCTCAGTACATGGGCGAGAAGTTGGGCATCATGTCGTGGCGGCACAGCGTCAAGGCGATTTACCAGCGATACATCCGGAACAAGCCGGTGATCGAGATGATGAACAACGCGGACACGGCCGAGGGCGAGGACGAAGAGAGTCGAGACATGGCCGGGCGGGGGGTCGGGGAGGCGTTCCACGCGCAGAGCGGGCACGGGGCGCGGATCGGCGAGGTCATTTACAGGCGGTCGACGGCGGAGTCGTTGTTCAGTACCGAGGCACGGCGGATCGGGTTCCGGCGGGTCAGCCGCGAGTGGCACGCGTTTTGCATGTTCGATTCCGTCGTGCGCGAAGGGGGCAGCGGCGGCGGGGAGGCCAGGCCATGCCGATTGGCCGACGTAACGCAGCAGGCGACGGCGGAGGAGGAGCGGCGGTGGAAGAGGATGCGGCAGGTGGACATCGGGGCGGCATTGCGGCGAATGTTGGGGCCGGAGGCGCGGTTCCGCGGGGTGCAGGAGGCGGCGTTGCAGGCGATG